CAAAGCATTCATGATCAGTGCTGTACAATACCTACACATCACTTCAAGAATAACTGTGGGGAAGAGGCTCGTTTGTTCTGTTTTACCTAACAGGTTTAATCCATCTTCAATTCTGTTCCACAGGCTGATATTAATTTTTTCACAGACACTGTTCAGCATACTTAGGTTGTCTTTCGCCAGAAGGCCCTTCTTCTCCATCTCAGTGAGAATGTCAAGCATTGTCTGGGTAAACAAAAAGGCAGTTTGCTCTTAGGGCACCTCCATGCTGCCACTGGGAGTGAAGCTGCAGCATGTGCACCTAAAGCATTAATGCAGTGACAGCACATGTGACCCACAGAGTCAATCCAGCTAACTGCGAGCTCAGGTGAGAGCTCAGCTGAGCCAGTTAATCCTGGTTCAACAAAACCTACAAGTACTGTTAAGTACCAACATAATCTCAAAACATACTCATTTCCTTTCTGTAGCTCAGAGGTGCCACGATCTTATTAAGATCTAACCCAGGGCATCTAACAGTGGCCATACAGGAATGTAGCAATATTTTTAATGATTGCTTTCATTCAGCTTTCAGTGGCTATTGTGCACTCAACTGAAACAGAAGAATCACTGCAGTGACCATCTTAAGCACGGGTAAAAATGTTTTTCTGTCCTTTGGGTCTCCTTTTGCTTCAGGGCAATATCTACACCATCATGTGAGATGTAGAGATTGCTCTGAAGCAAAAGGGGACCCAACAAACAGAAATTCATTGGTGAATGGCAATGCATAGTGGTCACGACAAGAATTTACTAGAACAGCTCTCACAGTCTCCCCTCTAAGAAAAGAAAGAAAATCCTCAAACTTTTATTAGACAGAACAAAGTACCAAGGAGTCAGAACTGCAGGCTGGGATGGCATAAAAGCACTGGATCTTCTGCAAGACTACTTGTAAATTCTAATTCATTTGATTTAGCCTTGAGAAGAATCTGCTGCTTAGATCTGTATTTTCTGCATTAAAAAAATCATAAAGTAATATCCACGGTGGATCACTTTCTATATTTGATAATGACTGAAAAAAGAAGGAAAAAAAAAGTCTGTTGGGCAAGATAAGTAAATGTGCTTATCAATTTTTTGTTGGTTAAGGCCACTGAGTGCCCTGAGTCCCCTGTGTTGCTTGGATGTGATGGCCTCAGTGCCTGGCACTCCTGGCTGTGACTCTGCTGCAAAAGCTTGCTTGCGACACCAGCACAAACATGTCCCATATGTACCCAGGGGCACCCCTTTTGTGGCGTTTTCATCTTCAGAGTGACACCATAAAGAAGAGTAAAGCTCGTTCCCCCATAAGCAACCCAACTGCCTCTATGGATTATAGTAATAATTTTTAAAAAGTATTAGATACTTACAGTCTCACGGATTAGCTTGCTTTTTGGCAATTCGTTGGCCAAAAGTAACTTGAAAGACATCAGCTCATCTTCGGTAACATCTTCATACAGCTGAAAGAGCAAGTATCTAGAAAAAGAAGTGGAGGGCGTTCTTTGATCGTACTTCCAAGCACAACTTAACTCCGTACTATTGCACCGCTCCTCTTGTCTACTGTCCCCCCAGCACATATTCCCCTTTTTTCCCGTTTGAGATGGAGGACACAAGGCCCAGGACCGCCTGCAATCAAACCCTTCAGCCCGGCGTTGAGAGGAGGTGACGGCTGTCCCGGACAGAAGGAGGCGGGCAGCCGGGCCAGCCCAGCCCGGCGCCCTCACCCACCTGAAGGGCGGCACCCGCGCCGCGCCCGGCGCCCGCAGCTCCCTCTCCACCTGCTCCCGGCTGGAGCCCAGGTGGGCAACCAGGAGGTCGATCCGCCCAATGCGGTAGAGCAGCTCCCTGAGGAAGGCCAGGTTCCCCGGCTCCAGCTCGCCCTTCTCCTGCAGCACTTCGAACAAGTCGTGAGGGGTCCGGACGGCTTCCAGCCTCCTCCAGGGGACGTGGTCCCGGCAGAGGAACTTCAGCGCCGCCAGCTCGGCCCCGTCCAGCTCGTCGCTGACCGCCAGCAGCCGCCCCCGGGGCAGCTCCATGGCCGCGCCGCTGCCGCGCAGGACGGAGGGCGGAGCTCGACCCGGGGTGGTGCTTCCCGCTGGATTTAAACTTCCGGAGCGAAACATCCCGCAGTTCCTTGAGGAATGGTGTGTCTTGGGCCGTGCCGGTTCGCAATTCCGCCTGTTCTTGAGCCCATTCTTGAGGAAACCGAACCGGGTAGTGCGGATGCAAAGGTCTCTCTCTGCCCGGGCTTTTCCTGCAGTCGCCTCTCGATAGTTCCCAGGCCAAACCACTGCGATTTTAATACAAGGAGAAGGAGCTTTATAACACCACTGATTCGCCTTCCTCCTTGCGAGCCTTCTGGGCTGCTGTCAGAAAAGGCAGCTCCCTCCCTGCGGACGTTCGGCCCCGAACAGCCAACAGCTATGGAAAACAGCTCCCTTCGCACCCGTCCCGCATTTGCTCAGGACAGTTCCAAAACAGGAGCAGGCACTGCGCCGTGGAGAAGGGCCCTGGGATGCTGCACCGCCTCCACTTCACCTTCTGGTGCAGCACTATGGATAGATGGTATTTCACAACAGGAGGGGAGAGATTTTACCAGCTGGAATTTCATCCGTTTGAAAATGAACCGTAACACCTTAATGCTCACTTTGAGCCAGACAGCAACCCTCAGTACATCCATACTGTTCAATAAAGAACCAATGTTCTTGCTACGCACTGATTTGAAACCAGCATCCCTTTCCCAAAAATCTAGTAAAAAAAAACACTTTAACAATATATTAAACAGAAATCTCTACATTGTTATCCTAGAAGTGCCTTATCAATGTTCAAACCCCTGTGCAAGATATTTGGTTACTATATGCATGGCAAGTTGGGTCAAAGGTGGAAGGAATCCAAAAATCAAGGCACTTTTCAACAGGCCATAAGCTGACCTCTCCTCAAGACATGTTAGAACAAGATCTTCCTATCTTGTTCTAAGGACGTACGGATCCATCTTTGCACTCACCTGGACAAGTCAGGCCTGAACGCAAAGTGGCTACACATACAAAATTAACCTAGAAGACTTAGGCCAAGCTCAGGAGAAGTGTCCAGGATAACATTCCATGTATGGCTGGCATCCACAAGAGCCAGCCCATGTTTGTGGCCTGGGGAGTTCCAGTCGCTGACAATAACAGAACAGAGTGACAAGCAAAGACACACTTACAGAAAGGACACACAGGATGAATGAGCTCCCAAAGATTTCACTTACATTTTTTAGCACATTGCAAAGAAGTCATTGAAGATTACACATGACATTCTCTGTTCATCATTTGAAATATCTCTAGTTGAAAAGAGGCAGATTTGAATAATTTCTGAGAGAATATGCCCACATTTTTTAGGGATCAGAATAAAAAGGCTGAACACTCAACACTGCTGTTAAACTGAAAGAATAGGTAGCAAAATGTGAATGTCTGGGCAAGGACTCATGCCCCTGGACAGTGTTATTTCTTCTTTAGCTAACAGTCCTCTCCAATTCTTGTAAGTGTTTTCCTTTTCAAATAGCACCACTCTGATCTTGCCTGCTTTCAGTTCAAGTCTGCAGGACTTGAACTCATCCACTTTTCTTTCCTACCAGACTTCTGGCCCCACTTTCTGGTGGCAGTGCTTCTGCTGTCTGAAAACAAAATAGAATTAAGTGCTGGGCTTTTGGCTTGGTTTGGCTTCTCAGCCATGAGCCAGGAGAAAAGAAAAGGCAAAGTAAAAAGCAAAGCTGAGAACCTTCACAGAGAAAAAGTAATTGCCCCTCGCTGTTGTCTAGCTTCTACTAGAGAGAAAAAACAGTCAGGAAATTGCAGAACCAACTTCCTTCTTACCACTCAGCTCTGTGGGAGGAACACAAAACCGTGCAAATAACCCACCAGCCACACTTTGCTCAGAACTGCAAAACTCAAAGTGTGTTTTCTCCTTGCCTGATTGCTGCATGATCTACATATAAATTCACAGTATGGCTGTTCTGTGGTTCTTTAAAGGATTTTGATGGGGTTTTCTCTTCCTCCTAGTAGGTCTTCATCCACAAGTGATAATGGTGAACTATGGAGATAGCTGGATTTTAATAGGCAGAATAAAATACCAAATCAAATCAATTTAAATCACAGGGTGTGACTGATCAGCACCCTCTATAGCCCCCTCCCCCCCCCCCCCCCCCCCGTGAAGGACAGCTCAGAGGAGAAGGACAAAAAAACCCACACCATTTCAGGGAAGAACAGATAATAAAGGAAGTCCAATTTACCTCAACATCAGGATTGGAGAGTGACCTTAGTTTTAGAGGAGATATTTGCACCTGTGAATCATCAGGTACCCCAAGACAATTAACAAGGAATAATGTCTTCTTGAGCAAGCCAGACCACCATGGAGGGTGTGGATATGTGGCTCACTCCAACCCAACATAAAAGTACAAAACCTGGACAACTGATCAAATATTTAAACTTTGAAAAGAACAGTTGGCTTGAGCTGGCTTCCACCTATGTTCCACCATGACTGGGAATGTCCAGGGTCATGATGGATAGCACACCTATGTAGCTATCTTACCCTACCAAGCCAAAATCCTGTGTATCCCCAGAGATACCAAAGAATTAAATTTGATATCCAATTCCTTCTCATGTAAAATAGCTGAAAGAACTTGTTCTGAGTGTATTGAACTCTGACACAGAAATGCAAGAAACAAATGCTGTAGATGTAGTTTCACTTCTGGAGCAGCTGCCACCTTCCAGCAAGTTTCTCACAGAGGAAGCAGTTACTGAATGGCCCTACTGGCATCAGCTGCCATTATCACGACAGTCTTGAACTTATTCTTTCCTACCGTCTGTCCAGCTGCTGCCCCTTAGGGTGGCTGCCGACACTCCAACAAGAACAAAATTACTTTTGTGGGTTAACAGTGTTTGTCATGCTGACTGTCCCTCAGAAAGTTCTTCCAAGAGAGGAAAACGCCACAGACTGAGGTGATATAAAAACCAGGAGAATTTATTCTAACAGGAACACGATTACAGAACTTCCTTCCAGTATTCTACAGTCATTCAAGACACACTGTGCCCTGAGAGCTCTGAGAAATAGAGAAGTGAGAAGCTTTATTACTGAAAAACTTACATAGTTGCGCTGCTTATTCAAGTAAATGATTGACATAAACCAACCAAATATTTAGAAGAAAAGAACCAAACTAACATAATCATGGGGTTTTGGTCCTTCTGGAGCAGGATGTTATTTTCCATGACCATTTATAGCTTCCAAAGACATACAACGATTCACCTCTGGGTAAGGTAGTTACAGCCTTACACATGCTGCTTGGGAATGCATCCAACTTTCTGAATCTGTTCTTTTTTTGCATATTTTAGGGACTTAGACACAAATGGGACTACATTGACAATTCCAATGACTTTTACAGTACTAGTTGAAAGTCCTTTCTCACTCGAAACCCAGATTGAACATACTCCACTTCTTCTGCAGGACAAAAAGCCTGATGATCTGTAGTTTTCCACAGCCTTACCCGACCATTACAGATCCAGGTATTGGAAGACTGATTCAATGTGGAAGTTGGAAAATTTAGGTCCTATGCCTCCTTAAAGGGCTGGGACTACTACACAGATCCAGATAATTTCTTATGTAAATTCTCTTCCCTGTCAAAGCCCAGATGTCATTCCTAACTGAGTGTATTCTTGTCTGCTTTTCATTGTGGAACTTCAAAGATCAGTTTCTTCAGTAGTGTTGATGTTATCTTTGGCATCTGCTTAGATCCTTCTAATTCTCTTTTTGCCACTTCATTGTTCACTTCTGTCAGGATGGCTGCGAGATCCTCGCGCCTTGAACAGAAAGAAGAGACGTTACATTGAAACACACTGTACTTGCAACTCGGCCAAGAAGGTGATGTGTGTTTGCCCCAGTAAAGTGGTATCCCAGGGAAGGCTTGTATCTTCCTCACCCTAATGCCACTGAAATTGCACATTCCACTGAATAACCACAGAATTCAGTGTGTTTGGGGGAAATAAAAGCAACTCCCATGTAGCATTGCTCTGGTTACAGCCAGAAGAGAAGATGAAACAAGTCGCCAAGATGAAACAAACGTATAAATTCTCCACTCTTCTGGACGCCATATTTTCTAAATGAAGTTTATGAGGGGATGGGTGGGAGGCACAAGGAAAATTATGCCTGCACAACACTGGGGGGTTTTGTTTGTGTAATCACTCAACAAATTCACCTCTAGTCAGGTGTCATTGGAAGAAAAAAAAATTATCAGTCAAAAAAGGTTAAAAAACACACTTATACACACTTCTTTGTGTGTAACATTGCAGCGTTACAACCCTGGTTTTGTCACAGGAAAACCAGGGCACGTCACTTTGACTTATCTGTAGAAGACTAACAGTGCCCAATCTCAAAATAAATACTGTTCTCCACTGTCCTGAATGGGAAAAGCATTAATTGCACAAATGCAAACCAGTGTGTTTCAGCACAGCATGCTTAAGTATGCACATCTGCAATACTCTAAATGTACAAGAATTAGAAATAGTACTTACTGTGGGCAAAGCAACTCCATCTTCTCACAGAGGGATTGAATGTAAACACTGCCAGTCCTACGACTGCGGTAGGACAGGTAGTCCTCCACTGTGGCCATGCCAATCAGAATATCAGCCTTATCAGGAATGGAAGTCAAAGGACTAGCATCCACCTCAAGAGGTCCAGAACAGTCTGATTCTACTGCAACAGATGGATGACGTACAGAGCCTTGGCAAGCCTGGATAATAAACACCTTGGGTTTGCCAGCAAGAGAAGGACAATTAGTTCCAGTGAAGCAGGAGACTAAATCGTCAATATTTACGCATTCATCATCAACACCTTTTATTTTGTCTTTTTCACCATGGGAGAAAATGAAGCAAACAAAACAGTCCATATTTCTGTGATCTTTCTTGCTGTATTCTTTAATTGTCTCATATATTTTTTTTCCTTCTAGATCCATATACTCAACTGTCTCAAACTGAAGCCACTTAAAGACCCTCTTCACAGCCTCTGGGGGAAAAAATCAGAAGGAATTTATTAAACATACACAGTGACAGGGAAGATGCTGAAACATCAGTGTCTGTGTAGTAGATCAGATACTAGCAGAAGTGTTCAGATCCCACCAGTAAAATCACCTGACTGGCTCTTAGCCTGCCAAATCCTATTAGAAAAACCCAAATGCCTTATTTGCCTAATTTTTTTTTTTTTTTCTTTAACACAACTGGGTTAAGTATCATGCTGGCTAAAACAAAAACAGGTTTCAGATTGTATGTTGTATTGGCACAAATTAGTGAAGTTTATTGTGTTAAAGCAAGCTTTAACTATGCATTGCATAGTAGTCTCAGATGCCTAACAACACTTGGCAAGTTAAAGAAGTGCCACCTCTTTAGAATGACAAATTCTGCCACTCTTAAGTGAAGTAAGGTCCCTCATTCTGTGAGAATGGCTGATGCAGCAAGAGGGGAATCAAAGTAACTTGCTCACAAATGCTATGAAGACTTCTCAGCAAAGGGTGGCCTAATTGTTGTGTGGCAGAGAGGAAGTAGCTGGGAAGAAAACAGCTTGTAAATGGGCTGGATGGAGTTAAAATATCTGTGACATGTCCTTTCAGGAATCTGACTTTACTTTTTTACTCTTGTTTATCTTAAAAGTGATTGCAGAAAGACAGGCTTTAGGAAAGTTACAGAGCATTTATTTGAGCATTTAAGAGAATTTGAGGACTTAAAATATTTTTCTATGATAGCTAAGAACTGAAAACAATCAAGAATTGGAAAGGTGGAATAATAATCACTTTTTCTCTAGTTGTACATACAACCAATTAAGACAATGTCTTTTTCCTAGAACAAAAAGTAGATAATTCTTTAAGCCATCAGCTAAATGTTGAAAGTACATATTTCCAGTTGGTACCATGACTGTCACTCCTGTTCTGGAGGCCAAGGAGTACCATAGACATGATTCTTCTTCACAGCAAAGATTAGATAATTGTTTTCGAGAATTATCAGAGGAAAAAACCCAAACCAATAATTGGATTTAAAAAGTAAAGAAGTAAGATAAGAAGTAAAAAATACTTACCTCCATCTTGCAATGTTCCCTCTCTATTGTAACGTGGATTTCTAAAAATGTGGTTGTTAAGAATTAAGCAGTAACCATGGGGGTTATTTTTCATCTTATATATTTTCCCATGCTGCAGAAACAAAACAAACAACAACAACAACAACAAAAAAGCAGGTAGGAAAGCAGAGCCAAGCATTCAAAAGAGAAATACACTATATACAGATTTCTGGTCCATCATTATCTAAGTACAAAATGAAATCACAAAGGCCAAGAAACAAGAAAGAAAAGCCCAAGGATACAATTTAGCTACAGAGGAGAGAAATTTACATTGTCTGCCTGAACCCCTCCTCCTCTCTCTCTTTGGTCAGGATATGACTTTGACATGGGGGAAAGGATCCAGAAACACAAATTTTCATATGCATAGGAAAAGTTCCTGCACCCCACCATTTCCTCTGAGGGTCCTTTTGCAATTCCAGTGAGGTAGGGGGGTTCTGCTATTCTCTTCACATCTATCCAGGAGTATCCTGGCCAGGATTTTAATGTCCCAGTCTCCATTATCATTAAGATTGGTTTCTTCACTCAACTGTTTGTTCATATCTTGCTTAAAGGGTTGCTGACAACCAGGTCCCCACAAAGAAGGCTCGGTCTTGTTTGGAAAATAGGAATTGTTCCAAGGCCTACCCCTCCATCCTGGCTGTTCCACCTGCTTAGTGTTATGAATTTATGCTCCCTCTCCCAGGAGATGGATAAATACTTTAAAGGTACTCTTGAGGTATTTCTCACCTGTTTTTCTGCCTCCCCCTCTGCTCCTTGTTCCTCTGGATACACAGACACAGACACAGGATAGCGGACTTCTTCCCTGGAATAATTTTCTAAGAAGGAGAACATAAAGAAACATTTTAAAACCACAAGGATAAATCTTCCACTGTGCATATTTCAACACTCAAAAAGCCAGAACAAGGAGTGAGGTGGAGCGGGTTTTCACACCAGTGAGACACCAGCATTTTGGAGAGCTGGGCCAAGCTTGGCTCCAGTTTCAGACTACTGGTTGTTACAGAAGCCATGCAGGGCTGTGCTCCACTGCTTCTCTGCTCCTCTGTTCTTTTACTGGTAGCAAGATACAGATAATAAAAGGTTGAATGTGAGTAGTCCTCCCAGGCAAGCCATTCACCAGCCTCTCAGCTGTGGGATATATAAGTGAAAGAGGAGACCCATTTTTGTACAATAGCACAAAATGCTGGTCCATTTACTTCTGAGGCTACTGTTCCCTCTCCAGAGAACTTTACTGAGTGAGTGGATGCAAGGATGCAAAATACCAGCATAATGAAAAATCTCCTCAGAGCACTTCTTTGAATACAACTTCCTGAAAAAATGTTAAGACATTTTCAAATCCATTACTCTAATCAAGGAAACAAAATCACAGTACTCATTTTACAAGTTACAAAAACATGTTTAAGTTAAATTTAATTGTCAGGGCTCTACATAACATGTTTTTTTTTCTCTACTTATCAAGAGGACAGAATAATAACAATACTACTAGAAAGCCATTCCCCAACACGGGACTTGCTTGGCAATAGCCTACCTCGGCAATTATCTTCTGCTCTTTTAGAGACACAGCAGAGGACAGCAGCACAAAGACATGCAGGGAGAACTGTTTGGTAGCTCTGCAGGGTACTGCATGGACTGCTTAAATGTATCTGAGGAAACTCACGACCTCAGTTGTTCAGAAGAAAGTTGCTATTGACTGAAACATCCTGTTTTCCAAAGGAGCACCCAGCTGTGGTGCCAGAAAGCACCACCTCAGCTGCAACAGCCAGGATATACTGAAGTCCTTGAAATTTCCCATCTGGTTACAGAAAGTAACACTTTATCCATGTGACTCGTTTTCAAGGACTTCCCTTTGACTAAGAGCAAAGAGCCTGGCTAACAGAAGGTAGTGCTGACAATCTCCCAGCACAGGTTTCCCTAAGTCACCTGTCCTTTCCTGTCTCTTGCAGTGACTTGGAAGTTTTGCTGGTCCAAAACCAGCACTGCACTTTTCCTGAACAGAGAAATTGCATTTAAGGCAAAGAGAAGGCAGAAGAAGGGCATTTACAAGGGACAGAACATACTTCAAGGATAGATACAAGAATCCATGATGGGATAATGAAGCAGCAAACTTCAGAAATCAGAGTTCTCCAGAGCTGTTCTGCCTGTCCTAGGGTACCACAAAGTCTCTACCTTACCACTGGACTTCTAAGCTGCCAAGGATGGAGCCATAAAACCCATAAAAGACCCTAGATCTGTTCTTAAACAGCTTAAATAAATTTACCTTTTTTTCCTTCTTCATAGGCATCAATTTTTTTCTTTATGTCAGCTCTAAATCTCTGTAATATATCTTTCAGCACTGTCAGGTTATCTTCTTTAATTATCCCATTTATTTCCATTTCCAGAAAGACCTGCAACATTGACTGGTAAAACAAAAACACATAACCCAAACTCATCTAGTGACCTTTGATAACCACAGTATCAGGCAGCTCTGCAACAGGGCAGAAGACAACGTCCTCATTCTCAGAAACTGACAGCTAAAGACCTATTGCTTTTTCCTCCAAAACTCGTTAAGCAAGGGTCAAGATGCAATGCAACTGAATAAACCCATTGTCACTAAGGTTAAAGGAGGACAATTAGAAATTGCCTGTAACTAGGCTATCCTGCTTTGTTTCAGGAGTACAAAGCACTGATGATGATAACATCCTGTTGTGCCTTTGTGTTCTGATGGAGTGCTGCTAAGTCCTTCAGCTATGCTATTTTCCATTTTTTATCACAGAAAAGCTGTTCAGCACTTATTTTGTTTATTAAAGCTCTATTGTCCACCAAGTTGGAGGTAAATCTGCTAATTTTCCTCTACGTGCCACAATACAAATAGGACTTTTAAGGAAGGTTCTTAATAATACCAATAATTTTTATAACATAGCTCATTACAAATATTAAACTAGCTCACCCAATCTCTTAATACTTTTGCGGGAAAGTTAACAATGTGTTGCTACTCCACATTATAATAAAGAAGAAAATTTACCCATTGACACAAAAAAAATTGTGGTTCAACTCACATTAGAACTTGATTTTCTGTCTCCAAAACATTGTTTTTCCTTTAGCAAACATCACTCTTCTTAGGTATAGCACATGTCTTATAAAGACATTTGTCTTATAAATGCCAAGCAAAGATTAAAGGAAGAGCCTGATGGATTTTACAAGAAGGTAAGATTAAAGAGACAGGTGGTGGAAAGAAAATAGAATCAGGAGAGCAAAAAAGGCAAAGATACAATGCAAAAAATAAGGATCCATTCTTTCACACGCAGCTATTAGCTAACATCATAATTCTTTCAAACCAGATTTTCATGAGAGCAGACTGCTTTCTCTTTCCTCCCTTCTTACAAGAACTAGAGGACTCTGAACTATCCTTGCAAAAAACTTCTCAAGACCATTTTTCATACAGCATTTTCCTGGAGCTTGGTCTTTGGTAGTTGTTTTTGGAGCAGGAACTTCACACTTCTGACATCTTCTGAAGTCAAGTCCTCTGCAATTCCATACAGCAGTTGCCTGACAATAAACAATAGAGAGACCTTCAAGAAAGAAGTGAACACCACAATTAAACATTTGAACTGCAAAATGTAAAACTCACAATGGCACGAATTCATGTGTAATGAACACAGTTATGCTGGGATATTCACAAGACAACAGTGCAGACAGAAAAGGCAGCTGACACTGAACTGTTGCATTCTGCATGCTGCCGTGTTTACCTGTAAGCTGACACCTGTGCCCTGCCCAGGACCTGCAGCTCTCTCTCCATCTCCTCGCGGCTGGAGCCCAGGTGGGCAGTCAGGAGGTCGATCCGATGGATCCGGTAGAGCAGCTCCTTCAGGAAGAACAGATTCCCTGCCCCGATCATGTCTTTCTCCTGCAGCACTTCAAGGAAGGCCTTGGGTTCATGGATGGCTTCCAGCTTCCTTCTGGGGACATGGTCCAGGCTGAGGAATTTAAGAGCTGCCAGTTCGTCTGTCACCAAAGCCTCAGAAATTTCAAAAAGCAGTTTGTGGAATTCTGTACTCATTTCACATCAGGATTTGGATCTAAACACAAGCAGCAGTTGATTTCATTTGTCAGTAAGACTAGTGCAACAACACGATTTATGTAAGAGGTATCACATCATGAAGAACAGCCCAAAATAAATGCATGCAATCACAAGTATTTCAATAGAGAGAGGCTGTCTTGCTATCGTAGCTTTGATGCTTAGCTCCTTCAGTTCTCTGGACTTAACAAAGGATATTGAAACCTCTGTACTAAGTGACATTAGCAGAGAAAGTCATAGATAATTCTTGCTTCTTATGGTGTGTCTAGACAGTGGGAAGTACCAATGTACAGGATGTACAATCCTGGCAGGCTGCTGCTGGTTTTCTTTGGGTTTGGGGTTTTTTTTTAAGTTTGATACCATTTGGGAGAAACAGCCACTTGCCAGTCTGGAATAGAAACTGTGTAATAAATGAGACTGCAAAATTTTACACCCTAACAGGACTAAGAGTCCACATTAGTATAGCTACTTTAAGCTATCTGGCTTCTCTGTCCTTTTTATACTGCTTCTGGCCAGCATACCCAAAGCACCTCTTCCTGTTTTGGTTTATCTGCATCAAGTAAAACTCAGTTCCCAGCTCTCAATTAATTTATAATATTAAAAGCAAATACAGATCATGTAAACCCTTTTTAAAAGGCCAGAATAATTCTCATCAAGCTATCTGTTTCACTGAGCAGGGAATCCTCCCTTCTCCTCCAAGTTCTCCATCAGCTTTAGAAATATTAAATTAGGCTTATGGATTCAACTTTTGAGCACAAAAGGAAGTTAGAAAATACCAAGCCTTCCAGCTATCCCCCCGACACTTAAGGGACCTGCCTCCACTGATGAGACAACCCATGGGCATGTTGGTGTCTGTTATAAACTCTTGTCAAGCTGAACAAAGACACTGGACATGTGTCAGGAGCTCTCATTGCTTGATTGTACCATCTTCTTAACTGCGGCAACCAGCCCAATATTTAAACTCAAAAGGTATTGGCTAACCTGCCCTTAAATTTATACAATACACTCCCCACAAGAGGGGAGGCTAACAAGCCCTTAATTTTGCATAATACACTTTACAACTCCCACAACAAACTCCTCAAAAGGTGCTGGCTCCCGAGCCACAAAAATCTCCACAAGCTCCTCCCTCCCACAACAAACTTCAGAATGGAATATGGGGTAAAATATTATAGCTCTGCAAGCCAAGAAAGAGAAGACAGCAAATAATATCCCCAGTGTTAGATTCTGTGATGATGCTGCCACATGTTTTGTCTGGAGATGGAGAGAGAACAGAGAGGGCATGAAGAGGGGAGGGGGTGTCCTTGTCCTTGTCCTTGTCCTGCTGGACTGGGTGCCCAGTCCTTGTCCTGCTGGAGTTAACCTGGTGCATGCCCATTATCTAAATTAGACTTGTGCATTTTGTTCACGTGTGCACTGCCAGCCTTTCCTCAGGAAGTGAGCTGGGCTGGGGGATGGAGCACGAGTCTCAGGGTGGAGCAGAGAGTTGGCTCAGCCCCACTGCCTCAGGACCTTCTCCCCGATCACACCTCTCCTGTGGCAATGCTCAGAATGTTTGAGACAAATCAGCCTACAGCTGGCACTTAAAGGACCTGTCTGCACTTGCTTCTACTAAGAGACCCATTTGCCATTTTACTTTCTCTGCCCTAGGTGTCAGACACCTTGGAATCTCTGAAGAGAAACTATATCAATGCATTCAGAACAGGTCTCTTGTCTTATAGACACTGGCAGTGGGAGACAGAAAAGTTGACAATGACAAAAGAAAATTTCCTACTCCTACACTTCTGGAATACTGGAATCCATTTTACTTATTGCTACTGCAAATGTTTCAATAACAGTACTCCAAGGTAGCCCAGCTGGAAACTGGAAATAATAACTGGAAATAATAATTAGCAGACAGTTGTATTCTGCTGTCCTCCCAGGACCACTCTACAGCAAAGGAGCTTTTTGTGGCACGCCCTTGGTCAGCATTGTGTAGGTTAGCAAGAGTGAATGTACAACTGAATCTAGTAAATGTACAACTGAATCTTAAACCTTTGCATTTCAAGTAAACTGATAAACAGTGAAACATGTGACACAGCACATACAATTTGTGTTCTGCCCCAAAATACTGTTTTCTTTAGATCCATTCAAACCAAACTTTTGAACAGGCAAGAATCCATATCCTTCAGCCCATATAAACCAGTAGTATCTGAATGTGCTTAACCTCACAATTCAGTGATTACCTGACTTTATATTTCTATAACCACACCAGAAAGAATAATATTTTCTTGGTAGGTAGCTATGAAATTATCTTCTTTCTCACATAAATCATGCATTTAATTTAAGATACAAGAGATATTGCTTATAGAAGTAAATCTTTCTTGTAAAGAGAATTTTCATTTTATTTCTCAAAGGCTGTAAGTTTCAAACCCATGAAATCATTGCAGTTAGAAGAGATGTGCCACCTATATGTTACATTTAAACTTGTCTGTAATTACAGGGATGCACAATTAAAACAATATTTAAGTGACACTGTCTTTTTCTCCCAGTTCGCTAACTTAAAGGCACAATTGATACCAGTAAAAATAATATTAATTGTAGTAGTAATTTTAAATCACTTACATGGGAGAACAACTCTGAAGAAAGTGAGACAGCCAGTCTCTAAAGTTCCAGGAAGAGTCTGCTTTTTTACAATACGGTATTGTCACATGACTTCCAAGAAATATGTTACAATGGAATAAAATTCTAATACAGCAGGAGATCCCTACTTCAGCTACTTCCATTTTCAGAGAACTGATTATTACAGAACTTGTGAGAAAAAAATGGTAAACAAGCCGTGAAGTAATCAGGTTTTGCTCTTGTTTTACAGCAACAACTAAGCAGCATACCTAGTGCTTTCTAGCACAGAGCACAGCTCAGCACATTTGCTTTCATACACAAATTCTAATTAAAAAACAGTGAGAGATATTTTCATTTAAAATATCTCAGTCCCACTGCCCTGCCATGTCACCAGATCTGCCATGACTTACCCCCTTTCTCTGAAGTCCCTCTCCAACTCATTCCAGTTTATTTTTAACAGGAAGATATTTTTTTGATTTAGAAAAACAACAACTATTAGCACCAAATTCAGTAGCGGCACTCAGTAAATGCAGGGAAATCAACAACTAAACATTCTTTTTAAATTATTTATGTAATATACTTCCCCATTTAGAGGAGAATTTGAACAAAATTAACTTCTTACATCTTTGCTCTCTTCAAAGTAAAAAATTTAGCCTTCAATGAAAAGGTTCCCAGCATGCAAGTCGCTGGAATCTTCCACGAAGCAGGAAATAAAACAGCACTCAGTATGGCTACCAGCTCTCAGGAGACATTCAAGGCAGCATGATGAAGAGAGTTAGGAGTGCTGAAATTTGTTAAAATTTTGCAATGAAAACAATTGTTCATGGATTTCAACCTATCTATCTTTACAAACTCAAAACTATACCGTACCCGTTGATAGAATGAGGCATATAAATTCCTTCCAAAAGGCACACTCCAGTGAAAGATCAGAAAACTTTGTTTCACTGGCAGGAACTGCACCATCATCCAAAGGCTGGGAACAGCACAGAGGAACACCACAAGCACTCTTTCATTTTCAGGTCCAAAATGTTTGTCTCCATGTCATTCCAAGTCTCAGCATCTCTTTCCCTCCATAATTTCTTCTGTGTCTTACCTGAACCAAGACTTCAGTTGCAGTCTGAAAGAGCCACCGTGCCGTGATATGCACTATGACAAATAGATAATGGCTTCTCCTCTCAATCAGCAGCTGGAAGGTCCACCCCTTTTGGTTCTATTAGTTTCACTTTTGATTTCTTCCTCTCGCCCTTCCTGGAAAAGTTACTGTCCTTTTATTAAAGACAGTTTGTCCTTTCCCCTCCGCTCCCCTGCACTCTGGTTTCCTCCAGAACCGTCTCAGTGACCCAATATTTTCCTTGTACAGCCTGCCAAAACTTCATCTCCCTGGAAAGGGTGATCTTGAGGCAGGAAAACTGCTGCAGCTTCTTGCCTGCTCAGCAACTGTAACAAGGCGGGACACACAGCTCCTGCACGGAAATGACACAAGGGACAGGATACCAGGAAACTTAATTACCACTTGAAGATCATGATCTTGCCAAGACAGCAACTTCCCTAGAAGACTTTTTACACTAGTTCCACTTAAATCTGTCTATGCAGGGGCTGCACAAGACACAACCCTTCCTTAATTCTGTAGGTGGAGAGTGCACACGTGCATGAGTCTGTATGCTACCAGTAAGCCCCACGAGCAACCAACCACATTTGTTTGTTTGCGTTTGTGACCAGTTTCTTTCTGGCACAGCTCTGTATCACTGGAGTTACAGGAAAGGTGTACAGTGTGGACAGCAGGGACTGATGAATACCTGAGTTGTACAAAACTGACCCACTCTCCCCAAGAGTTGCAAACTTCCATCTCACAACACCCTGCAGGAGATCACTCAGAAATGCCCAAGTGGCTGGATGGCAGCTCCAGTTCCAGCCTGTCCTGCCTTTGGGCTGGTGCTGACAAGTACCACTGCATGCACCCAGGTATTACACTCTGAAGCCACACAAACACAGCCCTCAACACACAGAAGTGAAATACACTAAATAGTCCAAATCGGGGTAGTGTAAACTGTTTACACAAACTTCTCATGAACAAGGCAGACTTTACCAGTCTTTCACACTTCACAAGGGTGGATCCCTCCCCCCACGGAACGCAAGGCTCAGTAAGCTCAGACTCTTCTGATTGCCTTTACTTATCTATGATTTCACTGGAGATTACCCAGACAGAAGTCTCTACAGAAAAAGCAAGAGAACATGATGGCATTCCCTGTCTACCAAACTAAAAATGAAAACAAGATCCAACAAAACAAAGTCAATGGTTACTCCAGACTGATAAAAATTTGTTTCCTAAACATACAAAATGAGTGCATCAAGTCTGAACAGTAACTGCAAGCCAGAAACCTCACAATTCCATCACAGTGTTATATTTTCCCCTAAAGAATGAAACATTTTTCTTATCTGTGGCATAAATGTGACTTCTTCATTATCATAAAGGGACCATCATGTTTTGGAAAACTGGCTGCATTTCAATGTTCTGTGTGATGCAAAACTCCCCTCCTAAAAATAGTGCAAGCTAGAAATGGCACCCAATAGCACTAGACAGTACTCTTTCCTATCTTATCTTTAAAGTATTGCTATCAATTAGTATTTTGATGAAATTTCACTTCAGCTTAAACCGTAAAGAAGTTAAAACCTCATTGATTCATGAAGCCAAACAAAGTGCAGGAATCAGTCAGAAACAAGGACAAACCCTTACCCCAACACAAAATGTTTATCTCACCAAGCTCTTAAAAAGTATGAATTTAACATAGTAACAAACAGGAAAGACATAGGCATATGTAGTAAGCATTTATAACAAAACAAGATGTCATTATTTCAGTTAACTCACAAAAGTCTGTCAGCAGCTTAGTCCATAGAAGCCTTCACAAACTGGCTGCATTTTAGATCCTAAACCAACAAATGATAATTTAAAAATGTAATGCTTAACTAAGTTAATCTGACTGCTCTTTTTCACAGCATGCAAATCTTCTACCATAAATCTTCTCAGAAGTGATGGGGAAATAACAAGGTTTCACAGAGGGAATAATAAGCAGCATTTTGGCTTTATTCAGTTTTGGAAAACTTCATTGAATTTGAAGCTTATGCTAGCCATTTGAGGGCACTGTGGAACAAATTGCTGATTTCAGTTGGAAACCAGTTCTTTATTAAATTAAATGTAATTTTCATTAGAGATTGAAGAAATCCTTTTCCACATACTACTTAAGGTTTTGTCTTTTCATTCCCACTTTCTTCTCTCTATGAACATAGCTGGTGGATTTAGAAACAGGATTTAAAATTGTTAGCCTGCAAAATAAAACATGATGAGTCTAAACCAGGCCATTAACAATCCTGTTTTAAATATGAAAGCTTACATGCAATCCCTATGCTGTGAGGGAAAAACCTATTGTATCTGCAGCCTGTGCAGGTACAAAAATGTTTAACATAGGTTAAACAGTGTCATTTTTCCAACACTGATAACTCTGAATATATTGACGATGTAAATAGCTGGCACATGGATTGTTTTAATTGTGTCTCCTCCAGTTTCACAGTTTGTTTGACAAAAAATTTATAAGGCCTTGCATCGAAGCTAACTGTCTTAAAACAGGTAGTGTGATGAACTGCATTTAAATGAGATGATAAAATTATGTGTATTGAAAGCTTTGATGTTGCTCTGAAGGAGGAGGGGCCGTAGGTATTGGGAATATAAATTTTCTTCTTAAGGTATATGCTGGTTGAGGCATTTGCTTCTTTGTCCCTGAAGGGCTATCACGTCTGGCCACATCTTCATTAACTTGTGTAAGAATTGACAAAATATCTTCACCCCTACAGCCAGAAGGAGAGAAAAAAAATTTTTTAAAAAATTTATTTATTAGTGAGCAGAACTGAGCAAGCAGATGACAATTCACTTAACATCTCCCTGATCAGCTAGAAGATAAGAGTATAAACATGTAAAACACAAAAAAGAAAACACATACTTTTCTCCAAATTTCTCTTTTGTCCTTATTTGAGTCATATTAAAAACAAAAGACCTTTTCTTGCTCTGTCCTGCTTAATTCAACCAAAAAAGAAAAGTAGTGGAATAAAATATTTTAACCTCAATCACTCAATAAACTGGGCTATCTTAAAGATTACAGATGTGAGGTTTTGAGTGTTTTTTCACAATAAACTTCACATTCTACAGATTACATGTATGGTGCTAGCAGAGAGTTAATGTAAATTTATCAGTGTGAAATCATCACTTTAACTAATTCCATCCATCTTAGAACACGGGTGGGTGTTCCTAGATAAACTACCTTTGGAGAAGAAAAATTTAATCAGAGCACTAAGCCATTGCAATCAGAGCACTATTTACCTTGGTACCAACAATTGTAGCTTGCTGCAGAGGGCCTGAATATACCAAGAACCCTCTGCAATGTGCCGGAAAGAGACACATCCATCGACTGTGGCCATGCCTAGGAGGAAGTCAGCCTCTTCAGGAATGCTTTCAGAAAGAGAAACTCTCTCCTGCACAGAAAAGTCAGGAGTTGGTCCATCAGTGTCAACGTAGACAGGACGCTGTACCTCGTCACCCTGGCATGCTTGGATAAAGAAGAGTTTGGGTTTTGCAGCCAGCTGGGGACATTTTTTGGCAGTGAAGTGGGACATAAGCACGCGGATTGACACAAATCTGTCATCTGTCCCACAGATTGCTCCTGACTTTCCATGAGATAGAATACAACATATAAAACAGTTCCTGTCTTTGTGATCTTGCACTTGCTGCCAAGTTTTCATGAGATTTATAATCTCCCCAGACGTCAGATTTGTGCAAGTCCTCACATCCAGACCAAGCCATGTGAATACTCTCTCCAGCTGCTCTGTAAATAAATGAAAGATTAAAGGAAAATTCCAGGCAAGACAAAAACATTTTATGAAGTCACCATGCAAGCTAATCTGGGAGGGGGAAAGACCTTACACCCTGACACTTGTGCAGATTCATCCTCGTACTAGTACTAACTAAAGATTAACTGGAATAAAAAAAGATGGTATTAGCTCAAACACAGAGTTCCTGGATTTCTCTAGACAAGCTTACATTGTCATTGTAAGTGAGCATGCAAATGACACTTGAAAACACAAAGAATCTGCCCTTCCCCAGTTTCAGAAAAGATCTTTCAAAACCTTCCTCACATCATTATTTTCCAGTTGCGGTTTTGACTATTGAGAGTTTCATTCATAAGAGATATATAGAGGAAACAGAACAAAGTAAGAAGTATGCACAGAGTTACTTGATTACAGATTTTTGCATTGTATTAGGTAGAATGATGGTTTAATTTAGTTTCATTTTAGTTCTTTACTATAGCTGTAGATAAAGGATAAGTAAAAAGTGATTCTTAAAGTTATTCAAGAATAATCCAACAGAAAAAACCTGTGGTTTCTTGTCCTTTATCCTCTCCTCCCCCACAATACACAAATGACATAATTTAACACATATCAAACATTTCACTCTTTTATAATATTAACTAACCATAGACAATAAAATATAGGGCAATACTACATAATCAACTCACCTGGGGAAACAGAGATCCTCCAAAAATCTCATTTCAGTAACTTACCAGCATCTTTGCAAGAACCCTTCCTCTGAGAACTATTGAAGTTAACATTATTAATAATGAGACAAAATCCTCTGTGTGGTCCATCCATTTTGTAGCTTTTCATAGTCTGTAGAAAGGAGAAGAAAAAAGCTTACAGTTTCAATGAATTTATTTAACTTACTCATATTTCCTTAACATGTCCCAAAATTGGCATCCAGGAGTTAGAGGCAACTAAGACTGTGGGCTATTTTTGAACATCTGGAACTCAATGGTGCCTCCCTGTGTGAAAAAACATCAGAGAAACTCCAAGCACACTGCCACCATCCTATCAAACTGCAGAAGAAGGATTTAGCATCTGGGTTCTCATCTATATGCAAAAGGCAGGATTCAGCAGCCAAACTCTGCAATCTGAGTTGGTGGTGGGGACAGAAGATCCCAACAGCTTCCAAAACAGTATTTTAGCTTCGTGGCAGAGGGATCATACTGAAGCTATAGGAAGTTAGACATCTGAGTTGGCTTTTTTTGAGAACAGTAATAAATACCTGGAGTAGGTGATTCATACTGATCCACTGGAAAAGGATGCAAGCAGAACAGAAATCTCAGAAGTGCATAAACCTATCACACTACAAGGTTTTTGTTAAGATTTAAAATTACTTCCCACTTTTGAAAAAAAGAACCAAAAACATTTTTAAAGCTGAAAAGAACCAAAACTTCAAGTGCCATGTATTTAAGTCCAACCCTGGGTTGAAATAAAAAACTCCATTCACTGGAGTCCCTTCCTCTTCATTAGAGAGCAACACACACCTCCTTTTGTGCATTTTAGTAGGACAAAATGAAGACAGCACTCCAAGTTCCTTCAGCAGCTCTGCAGCAGTATGAACATCAGGTGATGAAAAGATGTTACAGCACAGAATTTCAAGAAATTAAATAACTATAAACAAATGGAACAATTTGCTCCTTCAATATCTATGGTCATCACAAAGAAAAGGCCAGAAGGAGAATTCAGTGCTGTGGTTCAAGAGTGGACATAAGGCCTCTAAGAAGGGATCTCACAAAAGAGATCTTTTCTCATGTATCAAGACCTCTGCAATAGCTTACGAAAAACTCTTGCCTCCTTTAAGTCCTTCTAACAAAGGCTTTGCATGTTGCCCCTTATGACTTCTAATTTCAAGATGCCTTGAGGCCTTTTCTAAACCAGATACAAAAAGTGAGACCTGTGAAGCTCCATTTGTCTCTGTGTCTTGCACATTCTACTGCCATATCCAAAATGTACAACTTGGACAAATGCAAAATGTTTTGCCTTTATCAGGAAGATAAGAACATGCACTGATGTGTGAGTAACTTCAGAGGTATTATGCCTATTTTGCCTACAACACACCTTTCAATATTGCTAAATTTCTGACCTCCGAGGTTAAAATATCCTTTGAAACATTTCAATTTATCAGTCACGTCAAGGAACTTGATGAGATATACAGATACCTCACAAGTCCTTGTATGATAAATGTCATTCAAGAGTGGATGAAAACCTCCCACCCCTAAGTATTGAAAAAGGATTTAAGAGATTGTCTCAAACCTTGGATTCATTTTCTACATTGCTGAATTCTCCACGCAGCTCCAGGTTTAGTTCAGAGAAGCCTTGTGTAAAATCAGCTGCCTTGTTATCTAGAAAAAACCCCAGCACAGATATTTATGAAGAGATGTCCAATATTTCTGGATGAAGCAAAAAGGAGTTTAGCTACAATATGTCACTTTTTGTATGTGAAATACTGTTTCACTGAAAGGAATAATTCCTCCATACAAGATAACATGGTCATGTTCAATAGATCTATTATTTTTGGTTATTTTTATTATATTTATTTTTGTGACAAAGGAAAGGCTTCTATTTGTATCAATATTGCAAAATAAAGATACCCATGGTACAAGGATAGATTCTCCCCAAGACATTCAAATTAATTTTTCATCTGGATATCAGCGTAGAAATTACCTGAATTTAAGAAGAATCTGAATTCTTACTAATGAAGTTGACTTTTTTTTTCCTGAATCCATAATAAATCTCTTTTTTTAAAATATAAACCCAGAAATCATCTGTATGCTCATAGCCCATGTATCAGACACACATGCACACACAGTTACTTACTCTTGCCAGGCTGTTAGCAGGCAACTGCTTTTATGTAGTGCACATTCACAAATCACAAAGTGCCTTTTACAGGATAGTTGTCATCATCCCAATACTATTACTGGGGAAATGGAGAAGTGAGACATAACTATAAGGAGATTTTCAGTTTCCCAGCCTGCTCTGTATGTGCTGGGCTGCTCTGTGTGGCCTCAGATATTCCAGCACATCCCTGTATTTCAGGGATTCAGCCAGGAAGTAATGCAGGCTAGGAATTATTACACCAGATTTATGCCACTCTAGCTCCCATTTCAGCGACACATATGACTTTAACTTCAGTTGCCCAGACCGATCTACTGCTTCCTGCATTTTAGCAAACCTATTCCTAGACTATGAATTTCTCACCTCTTCCCTTTTTGTAGCAGTCTATTGTCTCCAGGAGATCAGGTGAAACGGTCATACAGACATCCTCCAGTATCTTTACATTGTCTTTAGTTAAAAGGCCCTGCTTTTCCAATGAAGTCAGCAAATCCAAAGCAGACTGACAGCCAAAAGGAGAGAGTAAAATATAATTATTGTTCCTTAGAAATCAAAACTTGCCTCTCAGCCCTGTCTCAAACAATCACATTATTATCTGTTTTGCTCCTTACCAACAAGGACCAGTCAATTTTACATCACCATTAAAGCAGAAATGTTGCTTCATGGAAAGCCACTGGTTGTGTTTTTATTTGGTATGGTCTTGTTTAAACAGATTCACCCAAACCACATTAATGACTCGTGGCTTCATTGCTGTGAAACAGTGCCAATGACATGAATCTCCCTTGCATATGGCTCAAGCAGGGCAAAGATTTGATTTGTCACCTTTTTATACTCTGAAGCTAGACAGTGAACTGTCAGTGACTGACCTTGGTATGAGGGACCAAATTCTACTTTTGTCTGTCAACATCTTCCTTCTTGCTATCCCTATGAATACAACCAGCCTATTTGTATATTATGCTCTATTCTGCCAAACACTTCTCACAATTTTCCTTCTATTTCCCGCCTTCCTTCTTCCCTTCCCACCATGTACACATTTGGCTCACTCTTCACATACAAGAATTGTCCATCGCTTTGGAAGATAGCTTTGCAGGAGGAATATGATTTCCTTCAACATCTCACTGGTGATGTTCTCTGACAATTCATACAGCATCTGTCTGTAACAGAGATGCAGTGAGATAAAAGTGGAACAGAAGATGGTATAAAAACAAAAGGCAATTAAGAATTTAAAAATGGAAAGGAAAACAGTATGGCATAGATAGCAGTAACGGAGGGAAGAGAATTCCACTGCAAGCTTACCTGTATGGAGATATTCTTCCCTTCTCACTCAGACGTTCTTGTACTTTCTCCTTAGTGTAACCAAGTTTCTTGAGCAAGGAGTGACATCTAATTCTGTATAAGAGTTCAGCTAGCAGGAAAGTGTCTTCTGCATTCAGATAGTCTTGAGCCATAAGGAGCTTGAAGATGTCTGCTGCTGACTTCACATCTTCTAGTTTACTGAGGCAGAGCAAGTCAGTACAGAGAAATTTCAAAGCTGCTACATCTTCAGTCACCAGATTTTCACTAATAAGGAAAAGCTGCTGATGGAACTTCAAGCTGATATCATTCTCCATGTTGCTGGAACCAACAGCTGAAACAGCTTCTTTCTGTCTGAAAGCAGAAAGCAAACACTAGTTTGTGTATAATACTTCAATCTTCCATACAGCAATCCTTCTACTAAAATTTTACCCAATGGTTGTTTGGAAGCCCTGAATTACCTTTTAATAAATAAAGGTTTTAAATAAATTTGAAATTTACTTCCTTGTCTAAACACAGACCACAAAAAGACCAGATTTGGCAGAAGCTCTGAACAACCCAATCTATAACTGAAGTTAGCCCTGCTCTGAGCAAAAAACTGTGTTAGATGACCTCAAGGTCTGAATTTTCTTTTCTTTTGAACATCTTCCACATTCAGATCTTTGCTTCTTTCTGTTGTAATGGGGAAGAGTCTCTGCAGTAACTTATTACAACTATTAATGGCAGTAACTTATTACAACAATTAATGGAGACAGCACAGTGGTTCGTGAATATTCCTTGATCTGCAGTCCAAGAGCTTCTTGTTCTCTGGCTGTAGCAGGAAGGTGTTCCTCTGGTACAAGGCTGACACCCAAGCTGAAGCTGTGGAATCCACAGCCACTCCCAGCTGTAATTTGCTTCCAGGTTGTATTTAATATTTGGCATAGAAAAACCCTTATAAGCTTCCCTTAGAAGTAACTGGCAGTTAAAATGTAATAGCACTCAATGCTCAGTCTAAATAGGCTCTGCACGACCAACTCAGGTTTAATAGAGACAAATCTTACTCAGGTTTAATAGAGACTAATCAACCTTGCACTACACCAACTTCTTCCATGTAGCCTAGGCAGTTCTATTCTACCCGTGGAAGGTTCAATAGGTAAGAAGGTGCTTCAGTGCCACTGGCTGGTAGCTCTTCAATCTTTTGCTTAGAGCAGTTGGAAGCAAAGGTTTCTACATGAGGGAGCACAATCAGTGCAGGATCTGCTCGCTGCCCAGGCTTGGCCAGCACAGCCACCGCTGCATCGGGGCATCGACACAGAAAAGTAACCAATCCGCCTCTCTGATGTATGCTTTCAGATATCGCCTCAGAGAAGGAAAATCGTACTAAATAAGCAGGATAAGGATTGCAAATTTACCTTTTCTTTAAAGTTTTTAAACTGACTGGAGCACTGCCCCAAGGGTTTAAATATAACGCGAAGCCGGAGCGCCCGCAAATGCCGAGAGCTCAGCCCGCAGGCCACGTGGGGAGGAATATCCCGGAGGCCGCGCGCAGTCGGAAGCCAGCACACAAAAAGAGAGCGGGAGTTTGTTAGGCTCGGGAGATGGAGCTTTCCTTCGTTCCCTCTCCATTTCAGCCCCACATTTTGGTACCTCTTACACGAATTCCTGTCCCGATCCCTCTCCCGGCAGCTACCCGGGGCGGCGGCTCGCGGTCCCCTTCGCGGTCCCTTTCCCGGTCCCTTTTGCAGGTTGCCGCGGGCGGGGCAGGCGCGTCCAGTTCCCGCCCGAGGCAGGAGGCAGCGTCAGCAGCAGGGCGGAATGCGAGATCAGGTGGGTGCGAGGGAAGGAGAAGGGCCACGGTCGGGGAGCGGGGCGCGGCTGCCAGCGCCCGCCAGGGCTTTCACCACGAGCGGTGGCACCGCCCCGCCCCGCCGGGCAAGCCCCGGCCGCAGCCCGGCCGCCCGCGGCCTCGGGCCCGTGAGCTCGGGGAACGCTGCCAGGGACCGGGAAAGGCTTCAGGCAGCGCCTCGGTACGAAGTCTAAGTCGTGAGCCGTAATTCGCCTCGCTTTTGCTGCCAAGCCATTTTAAAACAGGCTACATCGCAAAAAGGCCTCAAACATTTTAGGCACATTACTCTAATTTTTGTTTCCCCGCTGGAAGGAAGCTTGAAGAGCAGTGCTTGTGGGAGAGGGCTGCAGTACCATTTGTATGTGGGCCTGTGTCCGCTGCAGTAAAGGCAGGAGGAGGAAGGTGGGCAGACTGCTCAGTGCAGGCTCCTCGGGGCCTTCAGCATCTCCGGGGTCACCTGTATCCCCCCACAACCTCGGGTCAGTGGAGACAGGATAGGAAGTGTCTCCTTGCTCATGCCAAAAGTTGTTGTCCAACACACCAAGAGCAGCTGAGTTACCTGCTGAAACTATAAGGCTTGCTGTCCTTTATTATGTCAGCTCATTTTTATAGAGCTGTAAACTATCACAGCCTAATTTAACAAGTTATAGAGGTCTGCAAGATAAACAGATCAAGAATTTCAGAGTTATTCTATGGTCTAGAGTGAGATAGGGACAATCAGTCTGACTGCATACAGAAATTTTATTCAGAATATCAGCATGAAACCCAGCATTTGTATCCAATTATAGTGTCTTATTTCTAATAAAGAAGCTGAAAAATAGACATTATTTAAACCAGCCACAGAAAAGCTGTCAAATAATTCAGTACAGGAGATTTAATTTAAATTGAATATACATCATCCACACAGACAGCAGCCTCTTCTCAGCAACACTGTTCTGCATGTCAGAAACTTAAAACTCTGGAAAGCAGAAAAGAATTCTCAGAAACTCCCATAAAAAGCTTCTCTGATTCAGGTACCTGTAATAGGAGCCAGTGTTACTTCTTATGCAGAGTTGAAAGGGGAGATCAGCCATACAACATACTCCATCTACAAGTGCTAGCACAGTAACATCCTCTTGAACATAACTTCTATTCTGGATAATGAGCTGACAACCACTGTAGTACACAAATATGTAACAGTGCAAAGTAAACTCAATTTATGGCTCAGCCACATCAGTGTAGGTGGCTGAGAAAAAAACATGCAACTCAAGTCAGGTACAAAACACCACTGAGTGTCTTGCCTCATGAGAACACCTTCCGAGCCACTTAAAGGCATCACTGTCCATATATAGAGCATATACAGAACTACAAGAAATTTTTTTCCAGTTATCAGAAATCAAAACCATAATTAAGTGCCAGAGCAGTGACTCTGACAGCCTTATTCCAGCCTCTGACAATGCAGGAGCAGCATAACTTGTTTTATCTCCTTCAATAATAGGTTCTGAAAACTAGACATTTTGGCAGTCCAAGACCATGAAATTTCACCAGCACGTCACTATCTATGCTCCTGTGCTAACACCCTAAACTCATGATGGATCCAAGATTCTCTTCCCCCTTTTCTTTTGGCTAAAGGATCATTTAACCTGAAATAATTTCACTAGCTGTAATACAGGGACAACTTGATGCAGTCCACACCCTGCATCCATTTCTAGACTCAAATTTTATGTGTGCACTACGGCAAGAAGAGACAGTCCCCATCATGTGTACAGAGGGACACAGAAACCTGGTAAGGGTTTTGGAGAAAAGGCCCTCTGAGGAGGGGTTGAGGTCACTTGGTTTGTTCAGCCTGGAGAAGAGGAGACTGAGGGGAGACCTCATTGCAGTCTTCAACATCCTCATGAGGGGAAGCAGAGGGGCAGAGGTATCAACTGCTTGTCTCTGGTGACCACTGACAGGACTTGAGAAATGAAACTGTGGCAGTGGAGGGTTAGGGTAGATTTTAGGAAGAGGTTCTTCATCCAGAGGGTGGCTGGGCACTGGAACAGGCTCCCCAGCGAAGTCGTCACAGAACCAACCCTGACAGAGCTCAAGAAGCTTTTGGACAACACTCTCAGGCACATGGTGGGATTCTTGGGGTATCCTATGCAGAGCCAGGAGTTGGTCTCAGTGACCCTGATGGGTCCCTTCTAACACAGCATATTCTAGGATTCTATTCTATAAGCTATGGGAGAAGCAATGGACAACTGCCATCACAGAAGTCCTGCACAAAGACTCACTATGCAACAGGTACAGGGAATCAGCCTGCCTGAATGCTACATCTGAAAGAGGTGTCAAGGCAATAAATACTGCTTAGATGTACAATTATAGATTGCGTATGGCTATGGTTTAAGAATCTACTGAGGATCAGTGTAAAAAATCAGTATCTGACATCCATGAATGCTGCACAATATATGTCTGTCCCCACAACTCTAGAGGGTTATAACCACTTCCAACCAAGCAACCTGTGGATATTCTCAGTTCAGTCAAAGAAAGAACAGAGACAACTTCTCCCAGGCTGAGCCTGGGAATCTTGGATGAGAGAATTCAAACAATTATTATCTCTCTTTCTGTTTATAGTTATGGTTCTTCACAGCGTGTTATTCATAGAGCATAGTGTGAGATGTTCCTACTTTGAGCCCAATCCGGTCCCACTTAGCAAGTGAGACTATAAAGTTCGCTACTTCTTGCTAATAAAGATTATTCTTGAGCCTTCTGAGCCACCTGAAAATGGGGATCTTTCTTTCTGTCCCTAACTCAACAGCGTCAGCAGCCACACACGAAGAGAGTCCCTTCCTTTTCCACTGAAAGGGTTGATTATATGAGCCTCTACTTTTCAAAACAGCATTTCTGCATAGTATCTTAATGAAAGCCACATGGACTTTACTTACCGTCTTGCAGTAAGGCAAAGAACATATATACTTCTTAACCCCCAAACCAAACTTGTCACAAAACTGTAAAAGCAGAATATATTCCACTGCTAATATTTTAAGTAAATAGTTGCATTTAGCATCACTCTAAACCCCGCAACCAACCAGCCCACAAAACATCAACCAACTCACCACATCATTAGTCTGTAAAGACAGCCACTATTATTCTTACTTCCTTTTTCCTGTTTTCTTCTCCTTCCAATATTAATATTGTATTTCTCCTCCAAATCGTCTTTCCCCTACTTGTTCTTCTCTTGATGCTCCCTACCATTTCCCTTCTTGTTCCTGCTTAAAATTTCCACACTTCTTTTCCTCATCTGCCTCCTCTTGGTTCCACTCTCCCTGCTTTTGGTTGTCTATAGGGTAGCAGAAGTGCTTTTCAAATGCAAAAGCTAGTAAAGGAAATTGGAAAGTGAAGTTAATCTGTGAAGAAGATCACATATATTAATATTACTTCACATATATTAATATTACTTAGATATATGTAATTTGGCATGACACCTTATTTCTACAACCACAGGAAACGTTTGTTTCACCATTTAGTTCATTTACCAGCCACCACAAGAAGTAACTTCTAAAATTCCACATCTGTCATTTTGTATCCTTCTCTTTTTCCATTAAAAATTTAAACAGAAACCAAGCAGAACACACCAGGACCTTGAATTATTTTCCTGCATAGGAGTATAAGGAGTAAAAATTAAATGTTTAAAGTGGCCTACTTTATTGTCACTAAGTTCAGTGACAATAAACTTCAATACAACCCATCCAGGTTACACTGTTATACAAGTAAGCTAGCTGAAGTTTAAGGCAGTTAACTTTTAGTTAGGCAACTGCTACACCGGAGAAAAATTTTTGTATTTAAGACAATTTTCCTTTTTTTTTTTCCACAAGAACAAGAGCTCTTGGCATATTCTTTTTCATAAGCAAAAGCAGTAAGGGTAGGTGTTTAACATAACCCAGTCTTAAAGGTCCATGGCTGCTACATACTACATTTAAATTGAAATATTTTGAAGTTATCTTTTTACAACTACGCCTGGTACAATGAGTGTGAATCATGTTTCAGCTTCCACAAGACATCTGCCAAAATCCCATATTTTTTAAACTGTGCGGCAGATTACTGTAATGTCCTGTCACATGTACACTCATTTTTGCATCAGCAGAAAACATACTTGGCCCAAACCATGGCAGACTGTCTCATTTATTAACACAGAACTCCTGTGAGCAGTAGACAGTTCTAATATTGCAATCTTTAATGCAGCAAACAGATGGAATCCAGATTACTGAAAAGACCATCTCTCTCTCCCTTCTGTTTTGCCAGTCTATAGAGGCATGCAAGCCACAACTTGTTAGCAGAGATCTGGCATTACTGGGTAGGCATGCTGAGACATTTGCCACTACTAGGTGCAGGAGAAAGTAATCAGTGTGTTTCAGTGGTTTGGGCTGGCTTATATTTGTTTAAGTATTAACTGCTAGGAGGTTATGTTGAAAACAACCAATGAAGCAATAAAAACACTTCTGCTTTTTCTTGGAAAACCCAACAGCTATACAGTTTAAATCTCTTTACACTCTGTTTACCTCAGGTATTCAGTAACAAGATATGCTACACTGCTATACAATAGCTACCATTCTCATCCAAGCTTTCAGAGACTACGATATTAAAATACAAAATCTAGTGTCTTAGCACATTAAAATGCTTGTAAATTCCTGTGTTTGGAAGCAACAGGCACTTTAGATACACATGAAATGCAATAAATGCATAAATAAAAGTATGCATTAATCTGTATGATAGCAAATGCTTCTTGTTAATAATTTTAGATATGTACTTTCTAACAGCAGTCAAGTGGGAAAAAAAGTTTCTTCCTCAGTGTATGCTGGAGCAGCAGTGAGTATTGTTGGCTTGGGTCAATGGTCATATTCCCATCATAAACTTTTTTGTTCAGTTCCATATGGATAGCCAATATACAGAGTTTCCTGCAGCAAAAAAAATCAAAAGCATTCCATTAGAGAATGAAGCAAGACACCATTTAAGAATTCACAAGAGAGAAGATAACATCAGACTTGGCATGGAGAAACTTTGCGATTTCAGTCTCTATTGCAGAGGCAAGACCTCTAACACACAAGGCTGCACATGCATTTTGAGCCAAACTCTTATGACCCAAATCATTGCTGTGATATTAATTATTCTAACATGATGATCTGTGATTTCACGACAAGGCTTTAGAGTTTGTAAAAAGGTACTAAATGTCAGCACTGCAACTACCTTGAATAACAGTTGTTAGTTCCCTGGTAGATCAGCTGTATAAATAAAACCTCTGTAGGTAAGTTACATATCCAAATGTATCTGACTTTTGTGCAGGTTCCTTTTGATCTCTTTAAACAGACAAACGTTTTCTGACAGTTTAAGTTCAAAATTACATATTGGCAATCAACTGGCTCTGTGAGCAAAGGGTTAATTAAATTTAGAGAAACTAGAAAATTCTTCCCTCTCTACTGCCTTTGTCCTAAACTTAAGCACTGACCATTTATATTTGCAAGCACAGCTCTTCTTCATGGTACATGGCAATCCTCAATTTAGCAGAAGCCTGTTTATCTTGGAGAAGGAAGATTTCCAATCCTGTCTAAAGCACTGACACACATTATCCAGGACAGGTTCTTCCCTTCTCACTCTGCAAACCCCAGTGCCATAACTGTAACTTTACACTGTAACATCAGAAACTTCACTCCTAATTTAGGGTACCTTTCTGCGCAACTGTGTGAGGACATTTGTCTTTTTGACTATGACACTGCAAGAAAACCAGATGGCTTGAAAGTTAAGGTTTCTCATTCTCCGTGAAAATAAGCTATCATCGAAAAAGGGTTATTTCTTTCCTCTTAGCTTAATTTACCTTTTATAAGGATTACGGAGTAGCTCAGCCAGACAACGCAGATAATATGAGGGTGAAGTTGGGGATTGTTCCAGTGTAGACACATCCACCTTGCAATGACTCCAAAAGATGTCTGCTGTATGGGGAATAGTGACTTTAGCTCTGATATTCTCAGCATTCCCATCGACTTCCAACAGACTGGTACATTCTTGCTCATTTTCTGGCACAACGTAGCTCTGAATAAAAAAAAGCTTCGGTTTTCCTAGGAGTCCAGGACATGAGTCTGCTGTAAAGTATTTCTTTATTTGTTCCAAAGGGAATCCAGAAAAGGTGTGGTCTGTACAGAAGATGCTCTGGGAGTTTCCACGGCTGACCAATATGCAAACGAAGCTGTCACAATTTTTGTGTTTCTGCCACCTTGCAACTTCAAGCAATGTTTGATTCATGGAGTTCATATTTAAATATCTGTGACAATGAACATCATAGCCTAAGCCTCTGAAGGTCTCTTCCAACACATCTGAAAGAAGCAAGATGTAATTAAACCAAGGCACACCAAGGCTCAAACTCAACTATAATGAATTGCAATATTTATACTGTTTTTCTATTGAAACTGAGTAATTTATTTTATCACAATAATTTAAAAAATCAGGAGTACTTGGTGTTGATCGCAGTACATTACATACTTATAGAGCTATATGCATGTTGTCTTTCCTGTGAGCTACATGTTTTATGACAGCAGAGACACTGTGTATCTGTTTCGTATTTTTACAGACACATGCTTTCCTTTAGAGCCAGTATTCCAAGCTCCTAAGACTTAAAATATAAGGCAAGAAAAAACACACTTGAAATGATGGAGAGTGATGTAAATGCCTTACACACATATGAAAGTTAAAGACAGCTGTCTTTGACTTCAAAAGTTTAACAAGCCTTAATTAGCAGGGGCTGTTTCAGAGGTAATGGCAGTAAAGCAGCTGTACTACAACACTTTTCTCCCCAAAAAGCCCATAGTGAACACAAGAAACAGAACTCAAAACTTTCCTCAGCAGAATAAACTGTAGATACAAACTCTACACTATAGTGAGGTGATAAAAAATAACTACAGTTTCATTCCAGTTCTGTTGGTTTGACTAAATTTTGTAAAATAATTCAAAAACTGTCCAGACATTTTAAATTTGAGAATAGAAAGATACAGCTCCCTTATTTTATGCAATTAAACATGCTCTCAAAATTCAGACTACTCAGTATCACTAAAGTCTAGCAGTGACACCTCAATGAAGCCCTCCATCAGTCGGGGGGTAGCAGCAGTACATGTACAAAATGAGAATTACAGCAGTGAGAATGCTTCTCCTGTAATGTCCTGATCTCACTGGCACATGCACATACACACACAAATACAAAACCTGGTGTCACCTTAGTCCCCACACACACTAACTGTCACATTTTAAAAGAACCAACTCAAAAACTTAGAGCTGACACCTTAGTTAACAATTAATCAGAAATTATACATGGCCTTGGATAAGCCTTGGATGCTTAAAGGCAAGACACACCACAGCATTACATGCTGCAGCCTGAGATCAGAAACTACCTATTTCTTCAACACTAGCCATCTGCCAACAAACCTCCACTGATTTTTCAGCATCTCCATTCTACATAAAACACTAGCCTTTTCTCCCCTCATTGTTTACAATGTAAGGATTAAAACTGATTTCCAAATGGAAAAGTCAAAAGCAGCTATTTACAAAACAGCAAATTTCAGTTTGAATTCTATAATCATTTGATAAATTCATGCTGTTTACACTGGGCATTATAAAGTGTTGTAATGCGTGATCCTACAGTATCTATTACTGGTTCCCCTTCCTGAGATTAACTCCTGGGACAGCTACAGATTCTAATGGATGCCACAGATACAATTTCTAATGTTTTTCCTGCCCTCTTCTTTTTCTTCAGTGTACTCAGACTTCAGAATAGTGTGGCACAACTACTTCTGCCTTTCTTGCAAACTCCTTTAAGCAATGCCCTGTCTCCTCTAATCTCACTAGCACCATAATGTACTTCAGTGCAAGTCTTGCCTTCTATCATGTTAAATGCTGACAATGTGACTTTAAACATCGGAGATACAGACTTCCTGTGTGTGAGCTCCACAACCACTGCCCTTCAATTACCTCAGCAATTCTAAGTTAGTTCATCTGCTGGACCACTGCATTTGAGAAAACCAAAAGACATGCCTGGAAAGCCTCTCCTTCCCCTACATCTCCCAGCTATTACAGAACTGGCTGCAAATACTTTCTTCATTTTTATTTTTAGCCTCACGTGTTACAGCGATTAGAGAGTGAGGAGTGTTTTTGATTGTGCAAAGATCTAATTCTAGGATTCTACAAAGGCAATCAGGAAACTCCCACATTTCAAGTCATGTCAGTGACAACACTGACAGCAGTGGTGACACTTTCAGTTTCACTGTGGTGACACTTTCAGCTAAACTGTGCAAGATAGAACAGAAGCCCAGGTGCATCATTAATAAAGGACCTCATGGCTATTCGAAATCTCTGGTGTCCAATATGATTGTACTTCAAATCCATAACAGTTTTGGTTTTGTTAACTGGTGGGAAACACTACCATCTCTGCCAATAACCTGCTGTATGACTGTATGACTGCTGTAAGCCTAAAGGGTCTGTTGGTTACTGAACATCCTTTTTGTCCATCCCAAAATTCAGTCTATCCTCTTCCAAGTTCTTTCACTCAGAGATTCTGCACCAAAAAAACCAAACGTTGTCTCCAATAATTAGGACAGTCGGCTTTAACCTGATATTGTCCCTTCCAAATCTTACTAGAATTGGTAGATTAAATGACTGGGACAACACTATCCTAATCTGACTGGTAAATGTACATTATATTCCTTATACTAAATTCTTCTAATTATCTAAGATTAACAAGGGACTGAAAATTCCAGAGACTTACCAGTGTCATTGCCAATACAATCTATTATCAGGCATATTCCTAAAGGTTGACTTTGCATTCTGTAGGAATCATCAGACATCTGAGAAATGTGAAAGGACAATTACAAAGTCAATACATCACTTTCTCAACTGTTACACCATATTATTTTCTCAAATGTTGTGGTATAGATACATTAAATAACATTCTGTTGTTTTCCACCAAGCAGCTAGCAGAAATCTGTCTACTGGTTTGTAATGTGTCTTATCTACACAACAAAAAATCAGGAGAAAGGGACTAGTGATTCTTTTCCCTCTATTTCTAGTATAGACTTAGTTTTTCTGTCCTTGTGTTATCCAATCTCATTACCATAAAGATTCCTAAACAGAAACTAAAACTGTATAAGCTTCATACTGCCAACACAATAAATGTAGAGAACTTTTGTGTTCCTCAGGTGTGCAAGCAAACACTGCTCATGAAAAAATGTATTTCCTTATTTAGTGGAACAACCTCCTTATTCCTAAATAATCCATAATGACTTTATCGCAATTCCTCTCCCCTCTGAAGAAAATTGATTAAAGCAAATCAATTTGCTACAGGTTGGTTCCTGGCCTACAGGAGAACTAGTGAAAAGAGCAGTCAGCCATCCTTATCATTAATACACAAAGCATGTCTGTCTTCTGCCTCAAGGGCAAGGGGTGAGGAGGGAATCAAGAACAAAATCTACTGCATGGAAAGAAGCTCTGTGATTTCTAGTGCATGTGGCAAGAGTCTGAACTTCAACAGGTTTTAACTTGGCCTCTTCTAATAAATGTACGAGTTCTGTGTGCACATCGTATATACATGCATTTTGCACACTGCTGCTTCCAGAGTAGCAGCAAATAATATATATTTAAAATATATTCTGCAAAACTAATTCACAGAACCTGTTTATGGCTGAGTATGTACCCATTGTTCTGTCTGCATACAAGTCAAGGAAATCTCAAAATGAAACACAAAGAAAACTAAGGAAAATACTCACAGAGATTATATTTATTTACATGCAAATATATACACAAGAATGTACCTTATGTGGCACTGATCCTGACTCCTCAATGGACATGTGAAGTTGTTCTGCTGCAGCTAAAACATACAGAAGTATCTCAGTATGTAAGTACCAGTGATATTTTTTTAATCACCAGATCAGTTATAAAGAGGAATGTAACAACTTCAGCAAAATTCTCACCCATCAAGACCTCTTAGTTTCTATGTATGCTACTGAAGTTTTAAAATCCCTATATTATTCACCTCTAAAATGTTATCTGGATTTCATTCTACATTGCTTTGGACTAGAAGAAACAATGAATCTCTTCTACACTGAAAGAATTCAGCCAACTAATTTTAAAAATTACCATATTTGAGAGGTATTTGGGGTTTCCAGAGAAAACACAATACACATGGAAATATTCAATGCACAACTTCCTGGCTGGCCTGGTGGGCAGTTCACTGCTGAACTGACACAAAAACTTCCTTCTCCAGAGCTAATGGGCAGAACTGCACTACACGGGACTCCAGAGCTGGCTAGCCAGTTTTATCCATGGTTTTACTAATAAAGCATTTATTCTGTTAAGAAGTTTTGACAGTGGAAGCTTACAATTTTTAAGAATGCTTTAAGATGCGGCAGCACAAGCAAAGAAAATACAAGACAAAACAGTAAGGCCAGGCTCAATTCTGAGAGGTATCAAACACTCTCTGCTCCTGATGATATTAACAGGATTAGCCATGAACACAACTATCAAACAGCAGTCCTTTTGATGTAGTGAAATTCATCATTTGGCTCTTTTAGATTATCAAACTTAGATAAAATGCTCTTACCCAGAGTAAGACTTGATCCATTTTGTAATTTTTCTGTGTTCTTATTCTGAATCTGAAATTAAGAAAAAGTCATAATTTTCCTCTTCTCCTTCAAGAATTAATAAACATGTTCCAAAATAAAACAGAGTAGTATTTCTTCCTCAGTAAAAGGATATTTTAGACTCATTTCTATCAGCTAAATAAAATTCAACATAACAGTTGAAAAAACCTATACTAATACAATATCAGAGCTACCTCAAATATAAAGAATACTGCATGCAATAGGATTTGATGACTTTTCAGATACTGTGATATCTTCTTAAACTGAGTTTAAAACAAACCATAAAAAAAGAAAACCCTGAAAAACTCTTCTTAAAAAAGCTATCATTTTCAGCTGCAAAAATTAAAAGCTACTTTCCCTGAAGGGTCCAGAGGTACAAAGATATGTTTTGCAAAGAACAGTCAAAGCAAAACTTTTCACTCCACAGTGTAATGCAAAAAAACCTTTCAAGATACAGATTTTGTATTTTCAACTAAAAGGAAAAACTTCACCTAAGTCCTTTAAAGGGTATCTTTCTCAGGCAGATTTAAATCAGACCCTAAACTCAGCAAATAACAGGAATAACAGAAGTAAACCAAGCAATATTTTAGTCACTAGTCATCTCTAATTCCTCAGGCTCTGAAAGATGGATCTCCTTTTAAAGTCTGGCAATATTTAGAAATAAAGGATTTATTTCAGTTCTTGTATACTTACCCCTGAATGATAAGGAGGATCAATCAGATTGAAATTAGGGAGAGAGGCCTGATGAGCATTTATATAAACTGGCTGAGAATGAACAGAGGACACTGAAGCTGCAAATTTAACAGAAACACAAATACACCATGATATTTCATCATTTTCATTTTTGAAAACCTAAATCTATGAAGAATGCAAATGCCCTTATTTGTAAGTCATAGTTTTATCTTCAGCACATCTGACTGTTGCTATCAAGAGTAACCAGTGAAAAAAGAGGATCTTACCTTCATGTTTGTACTTGTGAATCTTCCTAATCAAATCTATCCTGTGAATACTTTGAAAACAGTTCTCTATCAAATCCAGTTGATTAGGAGCCACCAAATTTAGCTTCTCCAGCTCAATTATAAGAGCTAGAAAACTCTAGAATAGCAACATAAACCCAAACACATCAGTATTTTTTTCTCCACCAGATGTAACAAAGCAACACAGAAAATACTGTGGAGAGGTCATAAAGGCTGTATAAACAATTAGAGACATTACACCTTCCAAGAAAATTATCTGAGAGACATATGAATACTTGATATTATCACAGGAGTACTAGAAACTACAAAGTGATATTCTTAAAAATCAATCTTAAATTTTTGAGAAAACAGTTTTGCATTTTGTTTTTGCTACAAACCCAGCGACTGCCAATGTCACCTCACATGCCACAAAGCAGGAGGCAAGAAAAGCTTTGGGAAATTCTCAGGGCCTCTCTACTTCTCTGACTGAAGATAGAAAGGGAAAAAAACCTCAAAGGAAGAAGACAGAAATCTTCAGTCTTCTCTGCACAGTGGCCAAGGTTTCTGAGTACTCTCAACTGAATTTCTGCTTTCTCAGAGGACTTAACAAAAATATTCAGAACGCAAAGGTATAAAGATATAATTACAATATATGTGTTCTTTTATAAGCAAAGCAGAGCACAAACAAAATGACTTTGTAATTCAAGATACAGTTCAAGTGGTTATTGGTTGGAAGTCATTCTTATATGAACTTTCAGATAAGAAATACAGAAGAAAGACTTCTGTAAAATGCCTGCCCATGAAGTACATTCAACCACCATACACTATAACAAGCACTGTTCCCTCTTTTTACTAGTTTTCCAGGATTCTTTCCTTGAATTAAAAATCAACAAAATGAAACAGAAGCCACAACTCCTTGTCTGCTTCCTGATGTTTGTGTACTCTTGTCTCAATACTCCTTGCAGTACTGACTCCTTTCCTTTGCTGTCTAGCTACACTTTTTTTAACTTTAATGTCTCTTTGCTCCAGAGGAGAATGCCAGAATTAAGGAAAACATACCTTATCTTTTGCCATTTTCATACGAGGTGCATAATCTCTGAGTAGAAAACCAAGAGAACCCACTTCATCTTTTTCCAGATTTTCATTTATCTCTACCATTAGTACCCTGAAATAAAGTCGAGATATTTCTAAAGGATTAGCTTGCAGCAAGATTCCTCCCTTTCCCAACTACTCAATTTCTCCCCATGTTCCAGTCTTAATCTAGGATTTCTAACTAAGAAACAGGTGAAAAACATACCCTGTTTCAAGATCCAGTTATAAAATACTCTTGCAAATCAACACCTGTATTTTTCAGACTGACATTGTAATAGCCACTGTTAGGAAAACAGAAGTTTCCTTAATGTTTAATAGAGATTAAGTGAGAGAATGAGACAACAGAACATATCCTTAACTTTTTAACCTGTTAGATACAGGGTTTTTATTTTAGTGAGAATTTAATAAGGAAAATCTTCCTTAGAAGTACATGGATTTGTTTATGAAGTCTCTTAAAGAAAATAACTGGAATTTCTTAATTTAAGCCTCTCTAAACTAACAAGTTTAGAGTAAAACAAGTAAGAGAAAGGTCCCTTGAGAAAAGTTATACCACGTGGCTATGTCCCCAAAGCAAACCAGAAAAGAAAATATGTCTAACCAATGATATTCCTTTAAAGGAATATCATTTTTAGCTGCTAATCTAGAACTCTACAAACATCACTGGTTTTATTCACAAACAGACAAACTCCTTAAATACAGATGCCACGACTAGTAAGAAACTACTGAAGTTTAATTCAGGGACTAAACATTTCTTTTAACTATAACTCTAGATATAATGTCCTTTTCTGCTTTTCTTCTACTTTCAATAAATATTCTCTGAATCTGTAAAGTATTGAATAAATAAACAAATATTTAAAAATGAAAAAAAAAACCAACTCACCCATACTGCCCCCCACCCCACACACAGGCAAAAACCAAACCACTTATATTGAACAAGACAGCATAGCTTTAAATCTGAAACAGATATATTACCTGTAATCAGGGATAAGTCTGAGACTCCTGGCAAGGTGAGCTTCCACTGTTGCTTTCTCTGTGTTCAGGATCCTCCTCAGCAAGTCAAACCTCTTAACTCTGTACAATAGCTCAGACAAGCCAACAGGAGTCAGTTTCTCTCTCTCATTCAAAGCCACCAAGATCTCTTTAAGATCAGCAGAGGCCAAGTCAGGAGCAAGGTCTCGGCACAGGAAAACCATCATCTCTTCTTCTTCTTTATCCAATTCTTCTTGAATCTGATGAATAAGGAAAGCTGGCACTTGGCACCGGGTCATCACTTTGTTGCTGTTCCTTTAAAATGGCCTACTGGTTTTTAAACTGGAAACCAACATGACATGAAGCCTGTGTCTACCACAGCACTTCTCTTGTGTTCATTCTTAACTAGGTGCATTTCTACAAAGGCAGTTCTGTGGAAGAGAATTAAAAGGCAATAAAGCAGTGATCTGCTGCACAAGTTCACAGCTAACTCTCCTATCTGAAGTATTTCACTTTCAACTAACACTACACAACCTCCTTTATTCAAGGGACTCGCCCAGTTGTTCATTACAAAACTAAAAGTATTTGGACGGTCATACTAATCAGAAAGACATGTAAGTTCTTTTTAGAGTAAATTACCTTGACATGAGTCTGTATATTCCATAGGAAGTGAAACAAAAGTCATCAGCTTGCTGATGAGTGGTAGATTAAGTATTTCTGACAGCTCTGCCCTTTTCCGAGCAACAATGTAACATGAAATTTTAAAACCACTAATTATCTGTAAATTCAAGACTGTGTGGTTTTTCTTATTGTTAACATCATTTAAATTGATTCCAATCTGGGGTTAAAAGGATTTTCCACACACACCCTCCATGCTCAAAAAGATTGAAAAGCCACTCAAAGAAAATACTCCACCCTTAAATATGCAAACTGGTTAATTCTGAAGGTATAGATAAGTCACAGACCAGCTTTTCCTTCACTAAACATTCATGTACCATCATATGGAAAACTGGAATAAAAATTCAAACCTAGAAAAACCCCCAGCCTTGTGATTAACAAAATCAGTAAGGTGCTGTGCTCAATTTCCACTGTCACCAACTACGGAAATTCCATCTAACCTCCTCTGACCTCCATTACATACAGGGAGAAATGGCAGATGAGCAAACCTATAGACAAATCTTAGTCCTTCTACAGAGTTTGATCACTATACTGCAGAGTTTTATTTAAACCATACTGGAAAGCAAATGTCAATTCAACTTCACACCCTAATATACCAAAAGATTCCATCACCTGAATTAGATTTTTTACAACATTTTCATCCTTTTGTTACACATTCTAGAAGTTACAATCAAAAATGTCACATACTGTGTCCATAATTAAGCAAGTGAGATAAATTAGTGTAAAACAGAGGAACCCCTCAGGCACTGTAATGTGTTCTGGAAAGTTTTCTATCAGAAGAAAAGCATATTTATTGCTAGCTTATTTTCAATCTAGCATCAAACACGTGAGAATTCTACAGAATGACACTGTTCTCATGACATAATGCAGTCAAGGAGGGGGAAGCACAAGCACCCTCATATGAAACTATCTCCCAAGTACATTCAGCTGGGACTTTCAAAAGAACTTGAAGTAATAGTTTAACTCTGAAGTGAAACAAGAATTTAACAACTTTTGGTCATTTTTGGAAATACCAGAAAAACTTTTTAACTACTCCAGTTAATTTTTATCTAGTTTTTTAAAACTAGTTAAAGAAACAGAGGAAGGGTGTGTGTTAGGGAGGAATTTCCCACCGAGCTGGAATTTCAGACATGCAGAATTACTATTTATACATTAACTTAAAAATAATTTGCCTTTAAAACACACATATGAATCCTCTTCTATTGTGAATTTCCTTTATATACAGTATATTACATGCTCATTATAAAAAAATGCTGATTCTACTCAGTCTTGAAATTATCTTACCTGTACGTAAAACTGTTCACAACAACACGGGAAAACTGGCATTTGGCCATTGCCAGATCACTGATCCAGCACACATTGGTTTCCATCCAGGATTTTCCAGTGATTACATTAACTCATTCTCTGCTGGACAAATGTCAAGATCACAAATTACTGGGGGGGGCTACTTCCTAATTTTATGGGGGTGGGAAAACCAAGTAAAACAACCAAGGGTCGTTCTTCAGTATGACTGCAGTGAACCAGGAACGGTGCTCTAAATAAAAGGAAAACCAGCCGTGCACATAGCATACATTGGGTGAGGGGAATGAGTAAGAGCAACGGGAAGTGATTTTTTTAGTATAAACTAAAAGAGTTTGTAACTTTGCAGATCACTTCACCATAAGAGATAAAGGGCATAATGCTCCACTCTTCCATCTGATGACCCCTTTTTCAAACATCACAGATAGTTATTATAGCTGCAAAAGTTAAGGGAAAAAAGCAATCACAACAGAAACCCAGCAGCCTAGCTTTTGATTATCTGGACTCTGCAACAAGATGACTTAGTGAATGTAAATTCTCTACAAAGAGGAGAGAAAAATCAGCTTATCTTCTAAGACAAAATAAAAAAGTTCATAGTCGTCAGAGAAAAAGCTGCCTCAATAATTTTTGTTTTCATGTGCATGTCTAATTAGGCTTTTTTTTTTCAACGTGTTTGCAAAGGAGCAGGAAATAACATACTAAAATTTCACACTAAGACGCACAAGGCTCCAGTTAACTCCTTGCTGGCATTTTGTATCTTGAACCTTTCACAGTCATCTTTGCAGCAACAAAACCAGGATATGACACCAGTGGGTGTCGTTCTGATTTATGAAATTATCTTTCTTTCACAAGACGAACTCACGTGGAAGACCCGTGCTGGAAGGGGAGAGCAGAAGATGACTTGGCTGTGCTTTGTGCTTCCTCCGCTCTTCACTGTTTGAAGAGGTGGCGGCGGTGGAACGACTGCCCTTGGCGCCAGGGCCACCTGGCATTTTTCAAAGTTGCAGAGAATGCTCCACAGCTTTTCTATTTCCCTACTTCCTCACGGTCCCACGCCCTTCAACAGGACTTGTGCAACGTACTCAGGAAAACCAGGGAATTTCTGCGGGAATCACCACGTTCCTTCCTACGCTTGAACAGTTTTCCCCCGAGGTAAACTAGTATGAGCAGGCTAATTTGTTTTAATACCCCAGATCTCCTAATTAAAAGAAAACAAAACAAACCACCAAAAAAAAACCCAAAACCAAACAAAAAATGCCCAACTACTAGAAGTGGTTTATGCAGATTTCCAGTCATTTTTCTAAGTGCGTCATTTAAAATCACACTCGGTTTCGGTTCTCACCACGAGCCCAGGCCGAGCCCGGGCCGCGCTCGGGGCGGACGCTCCGGCTTTGGGCCGCCTGTGCTGAAAGCGCACGGTGGGAAGGGAAGCGTGAGGGAAAGGAGCGGAGAAAGGAGCGGGGGAAGGTAGAACGCACCCAGACGCGTCGGGGAGGTCTCTACAGCAAACAGGTCCGGCATTTGGAGCAGGGAGGAGCTGGGGCGGTACCGGCCCGCTGGCTGCCCAGCGCCGGGCCGGAGCCGGGGGGAGGGGGGAGGCAGGATGATGGTTTTAGTTTTGTTTCCGGCTGTACCCCTGTAACTCAGGGCTGAACACACAAACCGCCCCACAGCGGATGGAGGCGGGACGGGGCCTGCGGTGCCTCCCGGCGCCTCCTCCTGGCATGGAGGCTGCGCGGGGGCAGCGCTGCGAGGGGAGGCCGTGGCGGTGCCGAGTTCAGCATGTGCACAGGCTGTGTTTCTGTCCTGCTGCTGCCGTGGGGACAGACAGAACGGCTCTGTGTCGGCCCTGCGAGCTATGAGGTAGTAGCAGGGCTTTCGGTGAGCGGTTCCGGACCTGAGCTCAGTGTGGGCACGTGTTTTGGCAGAAGTTTAGCCGGAACCCCTTGTATGGCTCATGTCTCACTCAGAATTTGTTCGTTCACAGTGAGGATAATGTACACCTGTGTGAAAGTTCTGTGCTTCCCGGTGTATAATCTTAAGTAAATATTGTGTAATACCTTGTTCCTGAAAACTGGGTGTTGCTATTCCCTTGACATAAACTAGCAACTTTCATGAAGCTATTTACTGCGGGATGCTAGCATTGCAGCTGGAGCTGCTCTCCAAAAGGCCAAAAATCTAAAATTTTTCTGAACTAGACAAAAGCCACCTCTATATATGGTGAAATCAGACACATGAAATCCTGCTCAATGGATTTCAAAGCCTTTAGGAAACAGTGAGTCATTTTTTTGTGCTGCTAAAAATAGAGCAGTGGAAGCGCAGTACTGTGGGATAGCACACACGAAGAGTCACGCTGTCTTTGGAACTGCAGGGAAAAAGGAGACAGAAAATATTCGCCCACACTAGAATTTGTACCAAGTGGCAACTCTTGTGTTCTGAAAAAATACTTGTATTCCTACTGAAATTGTGTGGACAGGCTCCCACTGTAATATCAATCATTCACAGCTATCACAGTATCCCCGCCATTAAGATTCAGAAGGAAAACAGCTACCTACTGTGAATCAATATGCAGTTTGTCCTTGGATCTGTTCCACACAGAAAGTGGAGCATCATCAGTTTTATTTTTCAGACATTATGATACAAAAAGAGCTTCCTGTCTGGTATTACAATCATGTATGTTCCTCACCTGCTGGTGCCACTGCTGTTTGTGACCCTGGTTTTTGCACTGTAAAATAGCTGTGCTGGTAAGAAAGGCTGTTCTCATATAAGGACAGACATTGCTATGGTTACAGTGAAGACACATTTGGTACTATTATTTTAATACACAAGAAATATTCCCTCCCCAGGCAGGACTGGTATTATTATACCTGTGAAAGAAAATCTTCATAAGTATTGTATGTGTAAAAATGATGAGACATATTCTGCAAAATTAGCAAAATGTGTTCATCATAAATTAAAGACATTTAGGGCAGTGGCTGCCATCTGGCTATTAAACCAACAAATGATACCATCTTAATTCACAAATGCATAAATTTTATCAAAACTGTCTTGTCTTACTGAATATGCTTGATATATTTGCTATATCAGCGAAGTGGCAGGCTTATACCTTTTAAAGACTCATTCTACTTCATGCAATTATTAGCATTAGTAACATAGTAAAAATTATTGTAATTAACTGTATTACTTGTTTTCCTGAACAGCCATCTGAAATTCAGTACTCCCTAGAAAGTTGTCTGGGAACCAGACAGAAAACAAGCAGTGAGTACCAACCATTGAAAAATGCATATTCTGGGTAAGAGTACCTAAGGGAAAATAGAAATGTTTTGTGCCACAGACCTTACACAGTAGGTTCTTGGTTTTTCAGGGAATGATGCAACTGGATAGGAATGTTTGAGAAAAGGATTAGGCAAGAGTTTACTAAAATGAGTGTTTGTGCTATGAACAGTGCCTTGAGCAATGTCATACAAAGATGACAAACTCCACTGAACAGTACATCTGCACTCACACAGTAACAGATGTTGTTTATTGGCTCGAAAAATAAAGCTCTATTATAATCTCACTCAGAAGGATTGCGTGTGAATATGTAAGTTTAAAGAAAAGATATTTTAGCCATATTTTGGTAGGACCTTGACTTTTTTTGTAAACTTGCAATTCGTGACAGGATTGTTTAAAAACTTCAATTTCTTCACATGGAAGTATACAATATAATTGTTTAGTGGCATTTACCATTTCTCACTTGTCTGATTTTGCTTTTCATTTTAGTGATGTGTGTCCTGTTGTTTGTGCAACGTAACATAGCCTCCTTACTTTGTTACTAGTGACATAACATAACAAAATTTACAGTAGCATATTCAGATAATTATAATTCCTGGTACTGCAGAGGACATACACTGCCCACAGGTCCTTTTCTGCTTTAGTCTTCAGTCCAGGCATTCTTAAAGCAGTCCAGAAGCTGTTAAGATAATTTAAGGAAAACCAGGACATTTAAAACGAATTGCTAAAAGAGACTAGATGTAAAAATAAATTAATCTATAAATACACCAGAGCAAAGGAAAAAATTGTTCTCTTTTTTAACATTACAGTCAAGCATGGTGGAAGACATTTTAGGGTAAGGTACAGTTACTGCTGAGTTAAACATTTTATTCTACTTTTGGCAGCAATGTAATTTTTGATGTCTGGATATTACACAGCAGATTTTTCTGGTGCATAGTCTCTGCCAGGCTAATTAACTGTTCAATGGGGTTAAGTATAAGCTTTGGTACTTTCATATACTTTGAGGCCGTCTGGAGTTGGTTTTAAAGCTTTAAGTTAATATTTATTTTTATTTAGAGACATAAGAGCAAATAGTAACAAACACTTCTAAGAAATGACAAGTCATTCATTACTACTTACAGGGAAATAATAGTTATTAAACCTGTAATAAATATGGTACAAATTTTCTCTTAAAGCAACAAACTTCTCAATTTCATTTAACAGAATCTAGGCAGGGCTTGGAAAGAGCTGGTCTGATAGTTTATCTTGCTCTTTAAAAGACAGTACAGCAAAGCCAAGAGCCATCTTGGGTTGTTTTTTTCCCCCCAGATTGAAGCCAGTTAAATTGCTCTGGCCATGTTTTTTGATCCTTCCACAAAAGTATAATAAGATCAAAGAAACACGGGTTTGCCTGTGATAGACTTTAATATGGATATTACAAGTACAGAGTGAGCAGCAGGCTTATGTATGCTTCAGCTTATGATTAGTAAGTATTAAGTTGTCATATTTGATCTTCAGTGGTGGCCTCCATTTTTCTTTGGAGGAAACAGTGAATATTCAATGCCCAGAGCTATGATGAAAGCTGCAGCTCCCCACTTGAGTCCCCTGGTAAAGATTTCTGTTACGGTGATAGGTCTTGCAAAGCCACCCTGGTACCTCCAGACTTCATTACTAGAAAAGAAAATGAAACCAAAGGGAAAAAAGATCAGTGGAGCCACTGTGATACAAATTAACAAGAATATATATATATATAAAAGAATGATGAAGGTACTTCAATTCAATAGACATTGAGGCTGTACAAAATGTTCTGTCATTTAAGTATCAGGAATTACAAGTAAAGTTCATGACAGGAACTCTAACCCTTACCATATAACTTGAGATACAAGTACTGCCAGCAAACAACACAATTATAGGAACAGAATCACCTCCCCAAAATCGTGCAGTTGTACCCTTCTGTTTCTACTCTGTAACAAATCCAAGCCCACTAGCACTTGCATGGATTGGACTAACTACAAAGGCTACTCACTGTGCTAGACAGGATGCAGCACAGTCAAATCTTACAATCCAGACATAGATAGCTCATCTCAGTGTGAAGGCACTTTCTGTTTCACAATACAACGCAGCTATAGGACAGTCAGATGATTTTAAAAAGAAAGACTGAAAGATGGTGTTTAGCTTGAGCTACAGAGTATGTGCAAACTTCACACTGCTTTGCCTTGCTGTTTTTGACCTCCATTGTTATAGAAACGTTAGTCACTGCTCTAACTGACTACAAATATTTATTTATTTTAGCACAACCAGTGTAACCTATGGACATGGGTGTAGTTTGTCTCTTGTAAGGAAAAGGAAAAATAACTAAGCAATAAAATAAAAACTGTCATTTTGGGAGAAAATACTGGGGTTTGAAGCAAGGGGGGGGCAGATATTTATGTTCACAGATAATCCTCTTGTGCACATGGATTTTGTGACTTGAGATGAAAGCATGTTGGCATGGAAGAGTATCTCCCAGGTGCCAGTGTAGGGTCTAATTGATATGGACTTAAAGTTTCCAAATATGACATCTTTCACAAAGCTTATCTGTATTTATTATGTACATTAATGTGCATTTGCCATGAAGGTTGAAAGCAGATTCCCCGTTACAATGAACTCAGCATACCAAAGGGGAGGGAGCTCTGGAGAGGGTGACTTTGAAGACTTGTGGTGCAAGACATTAGTCTGGCAGAAGCTTGTATTATTACTGAAGCAAGTAGCATGATACTTTAATTTCTCATTTGTTAAGGAAAATTGGCATGATGCTTGTACTGCCCTATAGAATTGACATACTACTTTACATGAAATTAAAAAAATTCAGAAGGAATCATCTCAAGCTTTGGGTTTGACTTTGTTCCTTCTTTGAACCCTGCTATGACTGGCTCAATCCCCTTCTTTTACCAGAGGAACAAAAATTTTCTTTTATTTTGGAGGGGCAACAAATATTACAGTCCCTTTTCCAGTGTGTTGTTTTGCAGCACTTCCTGAAATTGGAAGAGTAGGCATTAAAGGTCAGGGTAATTTACACTAAATCTACAATATTAAACTGTATCCTTTTTTTTTTTAATTGGAATAAGCCTTTTTCTTGCTGAACACAATTTTTTTTAACCAAAGGGAAAACAAGCTTATGCTGCTTTCACTCCACAGAAATAGAGGCAAGATTAAAGTGAACAAGTCAAGTTCTTTAAGGGCTGATATTTCAAATTATTCCTATCATCACTAAAACTATGTTTTACTTTGCTTACATCTTTAAACTATTCCAAAGAAAAAGACAAAGTGCTGTCAACCTCAAACGCCTCCACAGGTTATAGCATGAAACAACTTTGTAACAGATTATCTATTTGCTCTCCCATTTTTGTTGTAGTGATTCAAAGTAAAGCCTTTTCCGTGAAGACTCCTGGAACCGTTTGCTCACGCAACTTTTCCCTTACAGAAGGGCCAGACTACCCAGCACAAGACATTTGATATTTTTATTCCCCAAGATGAAAGGGTGGTTGAACAAAGTACTGCATAATTCATGATGTGGGTGAAATACATTAAGCCCTGTTTTAACAGCTGCCTAAATATCTAAAAAGGAGGAGATACTCATTGTAGAGTGACAGCATGAGAAGTAAAAAGCTGATTCTCCATGATGTCGTTCACAGTTGACTGCAATTCCACCCTGTATACATGTACATTTCTTCTTTCCAAATAAAGGCCTCCTGCTGTATGTGAGGAATGCTATTCCTACTCAGAATGTCAGTGCAAGTTCCATCATCTTCCTCAAGACCTGAACACACAATCTCTTTGCAGAGAAGGACAGGATTATTCACATGTGCAGACCTAATACTACTTAGGTGTTTTGGTAAATGAGGTGTTGGTCACTGTGCCTGATCTGTGTCAGCATGAAACATCACAAAGTGCAAGGCTGCCTCCCAAGGTGTGGACACTGGTCAAGGTGATGCAAGGTTTGACTTTCACGCAAAAAGTAAATAAAGACTTTACTGAAATTCTGATAATTTTCACTGCTTTTACTGAAGAGTTACCTACAATGACAAGGTCTGGTTGATGCCACCAGTTGCCACATGAAGATGATTTTTGAGGCTCTCGCACTTACCGAGCCCACGGATCCCTCAGGCCGCGCTTGGCCAGCCTCCTCTGCACCTCCTCCAGGGGAGTCCCCTCCACCTTCCACTGCCTGTAGTCAGGGAGCTCCACTTTGTCATGGCCATGGCCGTGGTCACCTCCGTGTCCCATACCTAGGGGCAAAGGTCGGTTTGTTACTTGGCAGAGAGCATCATCTTATTTTTATACACGTGCAAAGAACAATCCCCTGTACAGGAAAAACAGGGAGGCAACAAGAAGAAACAGAGAACAAAGAGCTTTGTTCTGTAAAACAAAGAGCCAAGGGACTTTGTGCTGTGTTTCAGAGCTGGGTGATTACACACAATAAAGCAAACTTAAGCATTACTGTGCTGTAAGCCATGACCATCATTACATTCATGGAGCACCCATGCCAACCCTCTGTGCCAGAAAAGAGTGTAAGAAAACCAATGGTTTCCATGTCTATAAATGCACTTCAGCAGCACCAGCCCCCCACTACTTCCAGACTTTCCATAATAATCACAAAGAGTTCAGAGTAAAAAATTCTGACTTAGGTGTGGGAAAGCTGTGATTGCTAAGCTCTGAAGAAAAACAAAGACTTGGCTCCTCAGCTCCTTTTCAGCTGCCTCCAGTTCAGTCAGATATAACTGTGGCATTCAACAGGCCCAGGAGAGATGCATGAACAAGGAGATGCACCTTACCCGTTGCTTGATGAGGCTGAAAAATGTATGTTCTATTTACATACACCTTGGAGAACTATAAAAATATTAAGTTTCTCTTTAAAGACAGATGTGAAGTAGAACATTTTCAGCGAGACCATGAAGGATTGGAAGAAAATGATAGCTTTTAAGGCTCCGTTTTCACAAAGCACCTGAGTCTTCTTTGAGCCAAGGTTTCCCGTTTTAAGACATACCAGGTAGCAAAGAACAGATTCTCTGCCCTTAACTTTTATAAAATTGACTGGAATGCAGGACACAGCTTCAAAGTGAAGGTGACTCCAAGCCGTGAAGGCAAGCAGACAGATTTCTTTGCCTAAGAAAACTTGGAGAGCAGCACTGACGTTGTCATTACCCGAAAAGCTCCCCCTAAATGAGACGCCAGGCTCCAACCCTGTGCTAGAAACCCAAGGCCTCTCTGTTAGCACTCTTCACTTTTCCCAAGAGAGCAGGGCATGCCCTGTCACGCACACGCCGCGGCCAGCGGGCTGTGCTGCAGCACCAGCCGGGCGCTCTCCGCCAGCACAGCCGTGCCCAGAGGTCGGACGGAGCGGGGCAGGGAGGGCACAACCCGGAGTGACAGCCACCCCCGCTCCCGCCGCCGCCTGCCCTGCCCGCACGCGGACACCCCGGCGGCAGCAGCACGGCCCGGTGCCGGTGCCTGTGCCTGTGCCGGTGCCAGCCCCGCCCGCGGTACCTGCCCGCTCCGCGACCCTGCTCAGGACGCGGCGCCACCCGGAACCGGAACCCAGGCCAGGACCAGCCGCTACAGGAAGCGCGAGCCAGGCCCGCAGGTTCCGGGAACCTTCCGTTCCGTCTCTTCCCGCTGGCCCGGTGCGGACACAGAGGCCGTGGAGCCCTGCCCGAGCCCCTTCCCGGGCCGCTGCCCCCGCCGCGCTCCCGGCACGGCTCAGCGGGACCGACCCCACACCAGGAGCGACGCCGCCGGCTCGGACTGTGGGGCTGGGGGGAAGGAGAAGCGGAGCGGAAAGCGGCCAATCAGTGCGCGGCTTCTTGCGGGGGGCGTGGCCCAATGGGCGGGCGCGTTGCTGAGGTGCGGGGCTGGCGGTGTCCGGAGGTGGCGGCGGAGGAGGAGGAGAGCGGGGTGAGGGGGCGGCGGGGTGAGGGCCGGCGCCGGGAGCGGGGATCTCCCACCCTTCGCGGGCTGCCCGGCGCCGTCTGTCGCTGCCGGCGGTGCGGGCAGGGACGGAAGCGCATCAGGGTTTGTGCGTGCGGGGGCGCGAACCGTTCCCAGCACTCGCGGCGGCAGCGCCGCTCGCGCTCCCTCTCCTGCCCCTGCTGCTCCCTCTCCCGTTCCCGCTCCCCTCCGCTCGGACAGCCGCCCCCTCCCCGCGGTTATGTAAGCCCGGCCCTCCGCCCTGCCCGCGGGGAGCGGTGGCGGGGCCCGGGCAGTGCCCGCTCGCTGCCAGCCCTCGGGGCGCGCTTCGGCAGGGGGAGAAGCCGGGGGAGAGATCGGAGCTCGCAGCGAGCCCGGCTGGCGCCAGGAGCCGAGTTTCGGTTTTCAGTGGGTATGTCTTAAAAGAGCATTGGCGTTTGTTTCCATAGGAGAAGCGGGGAGGCGTCCCGAAATCCTGGTAGTGCACTGAAAGGTAAGTGAAAGCGAAGAATTCTTTTTCAACTGCCTCCCGAGTGAGGTGGTGGCTTGTTTTCACTGAGTGCTTGTGTCAGGAGCGCGGCGTTTTGCATGTGAGGCTGTGTGACTGTGAAGTGTCAATTGTCTTAGTGTCTTAATTACAATTATTTTTGTGTTTGTCAGACTTGAGCACTTCGTATGCTTCGTCTGGAAAGAGACTGGTAAAAGTTAACTACACAGTCAGTGACTTATAGAGACTTAAATTATTTTCTCAGTTGTATATTGTACAATATTGTTTCTTTTTAGCAGAATACAAGCTGCTCTATTAACTTTTGATACTCTTATTAACATGAGAATAAACATTACAGCATGATGCCAGCAGAATTTTGGGGTAGACTGTAGTGCTTTTTTCCAATATATTTTGATGGAAATTGACTTCTGGGTTTCAGGGTTTTGTAATAGGGATACTGGAAGCGCATGAGAAGAGTTCCAGAAGGAATGCCATTATCATGTTATTAACAGTGAAACTCTTCTAAATAGAGTGCCATCTGTTTAATCCAGACTGCCTCAGTCTGGTTTCAGCATTGAATGTTTTTCACTGTGAGATAAAGTCTGGAAGATTCAGAGCAGTCTTCTCTTGGGATGAGAAGACACACATTTGTTTTTCTGTAATGTATGGGGTTGGAATTGTTGGCTCTATATTTGTGAGGTGCTTAAATCCCTGTCTCACAGAGAACACAGCTCTGTCAGAGACTTACTTGCAAAATAGTTCTTGTTTCTTACTGTGGCTGAAAGTTAATGTGTATGTGTCCAAAGTCCAGTGGTGCTGAGGAATGTGTATATTTTTCTCAGAATTTTTTTTTCAGTGACCCATAGACATGTCAGATACCAGATACCTTGGTTTTATTCTTTGAGAGAAAGTCCCAGCTTTATTTGTTTGGTACTTTTTTTTCCTTGTTTGTTTGGGGGGGTTGTTTTTGTTTATTTTGTTTTGTTTTCTTGGTGCTTGGAAGCCTGACTTGAGTATTATGCACAAAACTATGCTGGTATTGCTAAGTCTGTTACCAGGGACATTCAGTTCTGATCCCAGAGCATTGGCTTTGTGTGATCTGTTGTGCATGGACAGAATTGTTAACAGGTTTAAAGGTTTAGCAAGGTTTTCGGTAGCTGTTTTTGCCTTCCCCCTCACCCCCAAAAAACTCGTGGTAAGAAAAACTTTGTGCAATCAGTTGATCTGCTCTACCATGTTTTGCTTCCTGTATTTCCTTTTCTTTCAGTATGGACTATACTCTTTTAAAAATAAGGCTGCAAATATGAGGGATGTGATATTTTGGGAATATAGTAAGCTCTTTGATGCTGTATCCTCAAGTAAGTGAGTCTGCATAATTTAAGGGGCCTAGAAGTGTTGCTACAATGTGTTTTGAGAAGGAAGCTTCACCATAATTACAGTGTCAGTCTGGAGAAATCAATAATATGCAGAAGGAAATAATATAAAAGACATTTTTATATTGTGTTAAAGAACCCCAACAAACAACTGAATGTCCTCTAGGAAGGAAAGGTCATTGAAATTCCATGTACAAATAATCAGTACATTTTGTGATTTATGTAGTTGGTGGGTTTTTTTGTGTGGTATTTTTTATTATTATTAATTAGTTGTGGTGATAATTACTGCAAAGATTTGGTGTTCTAGGATAAAGTTATTTTAGCTTGTATGCAGCCATGCTAGTTATGATTTGCTGGGATTCCTCCTTGTGTTGTTAAGCTAGAGGAAGGCTGCAGGGTTTCTTGGATAGCTTTCAAAAGTCCATGTTTCCAGCAATTTGTGTTGCTGTGCATTCTGGATTAACAGCTTGTGAGATTCATTGTAGGAACCTCTCTTCTCTGCCTGTGCATCCAGTATTCTCTCTAGCACTGCACAGTGTTTGGTGCTATGCTCTTCATACTTGTTTTCTGGAGTAGAGAGCTGTGTGACTGACAGTGACTTGTTTTCAGTTTTGAGGTGACAAGAAAGGGTTGTGGGGTTGTTTTGGTTTTTTTCCCTTTAATATCAGAATACATGTTTGAGCTAGTTAAATATTGCATCCTTTTTCTCCCTGAAATTGCATGTTACTTCCTGTGGTGTTGTATTAGTAGTCAGTTATGTCATTGGAAGCCTCTTGTCATTTGAATAAAATGGTTAATACTGCCTTAATTACAATAAGGATGGAAAAGATCTTTCTTTAGTTCACCTTGGTTTGTTTGAATGCTTTTGAAAAAAACATTCAGTGAATGGTGGGGAAGGAAATTATCTTCTCAGGCATCATTAGAGAGATAAATATTTTATGGACAGTATCACAGTCACTGTTTCACCTCTGTTTTAGAACAGTGATGGGCTGAAGCAGTATTTTTAGTTTCTTTCTGGTTATGGTGTTTGTTTGCTGATGGGTTGTTTTTTGTTTGGGATTTTTTTTGGGCAACATAAAGACCATTCTTCACAGGAGCAGCCACACTGGTCTGATCTGTTATTCTCTCCTGCAACCTAAAGCTCTTAGACCCTGGAATGTGTCAGGATCATTGTTCTGAGTTCTGCTCCTCTGCCACAGCTCAGCAGGTGCTCATTTGACAGCAGGTGCTTTACTGTTCCACTCTTTTCTAGAATATAGGGTTACTCCTTAGGTCAGCTCTCCCAGTCTCAGTGGGGATGACGTGTTG